CTCACAAATATTGACACTGTCATTAATTATCAGTCATATGACCTTTTTATGTTCAGCTGTAAGGCGATCTGCCGCCTCGTTATCTCCTCTCTAGTCGATGGGGTACATCTGTGTACATTCGATGTGTAACATTTGTTTGTCTATCGAATACGTTGTCAGGCGATCGTGATACATGTTCCCGGTTACTGCAGTACGTCGTGGTATCCGAGTAATAAACTGATACTTTAATCACGGGGAACATGGTCAGTAATGGTCAGTCGAGCTCGGACAGTCCTTAGATGGTTGACCGTGTTTGACAGCTTGACTCCTGAGAGTTTCTAGGACTTCAGTCCTGCCCCACAACAAAGCACATGTGATACACGTGGTCTCACCTTAGGCAAGTGAGTTTGTTCCAAATTGCCTCTGTTCACCCAGCAGAAAATGGGTACCCGGTTGGATAAAGTCATGTGACTATAACCTTCTAGCGCCTAACAGGCAACTTGGGTTATCCGGGGTAATAAGAATCAGATTCTGATTAAGCGCCGTGAGCAATTACTTGGTGTTTGGAGATTGTGCGCTATTCATTGCACAGTCGACATTTTATTATTATTACTATTATGTTTTACAGTTTAAAGAGGACAATGCAGCAGAGAGGGTTCGGGTGATCCTGGCACAGTCAGGCTGGTAAGGCTCATCATCAGCTCAAGGCCCTTACCCCCTCTACACGCAGCCCAGACAGCGAGTGGTACGTCTCCCAGGAAACGCTGCGTAGTCGAACCCACCAAGACGTTTCCGGAGAATATGAAGGCTCCCCAACATTGCAGCCTTCTGCATTACCCAGAGTGTCAGAAGGGCTGTACTCCCGGTGGAGAACCCGGGCACTCTCCTGATCTGCGCCAAGAGATCAGGAGGTACCAAATTAGGGCACCGAGAACAATGGGGAGCCTGACGACAGTGTACTTGGGTCCGGATATTTATCATGCTTTTCCTGAATCTTGTCAATCACATTGCTGTCAAAAGGGACAGAAAATTCAATGATATATAAAAATTCATTGGCTTTATCAAAAAGGACAAGATCAAGTTTGTTGGCAGGAATTCTTCTGAGGCTGTATATGGGCCTATTCCAGAGAAGTTTGAAAGCATCATTTTCCATGACGCCCTGAACATGTTCAGGGTCGTACCATGGATGGACCTCGGAGTCAAAGCCACAGGCACGTCGGAGACAGTAGTAAAAGCAACGAGCCATGCCATCATGTCGTTTAAGATATGCTGTTTGTGCCAAGGAAGGACATCCACTGACAAGGTGTTGGACAGTCTCTGTGAATTCATTGCAAAGTCGACATTTCATGTTAATATTCTCTTTAAGAATCACATTTAGGCGATTGCGAGTGGGAAGTGACTGGTCCTGAGCAGGAAAAAGGAAGGCCTCAGTTTCAGATTTAAGACCAGCCGACTTCATCCAGGCGAAGGAGTCCGTGGGATTGCTATTCTGTTCCATACACTGCATGTACACACGATGCAATGGCTTCTCAGAAAGCTTCTCCACAAAAGACCGACTCTGGGCAGACTTGGTGAAGGACTTCGCCTGGTTTACTCCCATCGCTGTACCGTCCAGCAGTACATCGCCATCAGCAAATTCAACCTCAAATTTCATATTCTGTCCAACAACCTTAGCACGCTTAAAATAATTGTGGAATTCCTTGCTTTCATCATGAGTCTTGACATGCATCACCAGAGGATCACCAGATAAATAAATATGTGCAAAAGTACACAATAAAATTCTATCATGAAGAGCCTCCACATTAATAAAAACTCGACCTCCAGAATTGATTGGCATATATAAACGGTTAAGAGAGGAACGAGGGTGGTGGGCTCTGTTATCAGACATGATCCTTCTGGTCAGGCGGTCAAGACTCTGGATATCTTGTTTTGTCCAATCAACTACTCCAAAGGATTAGGAAGGATTGGTGGCCTTGACCTTGTTTCGAGTATTTAGCTCTGAGCTCCAGATTTTCTTTAAGCGAGATTTGTACTCGGCCCGAAGTTTGTCTTGAATTTGGGCATTCTGGAGCTTGTCTCGAACTTGCATTCCAAGATAGGTGTAGGCCTGATCTTCCACAAGATGCTCAATAACTCCCCCGTAACTTGACCAATCCACCATTAACTACCTTGCCACGTTTTAAATGAAGAGTATTACATTTGTCGAGTCCAAATGTCATGCCAATATCATTAGAAATGGACTCGACAACGAGAACTTGTTCTGTCAAACTGGTATCTCCTTTGGTTATTATTATTATTATCATTATTAATACACACAGAAAACGTTCATGAAGTCATTTCAAAAGAATTCTTTAGATCCAGTTTTCAGACACCATAAAAATACTGCAAGAAATATACGCACAGGTTTAAAAACACAGGAAGCAGCTGTTCAGACATTAAAGCTTCAGCTAAAACCAGAGCAACAAATTGAGGTGCACATATATCTGTAAATATGTCCTAAATATCCGCACCCAGCACAGTTTGTTTCACCGTCCATACAAACTGCCGGGCAAAAGTAAGTACGATAAGCTACTGTTATAACGAACTCAGGGGATCCCGAATTTTTAGTTTGGTACAACCGTAGTTCGTTATAAGCGTTTCGACTAAAATACACAGCAAGTGGCCTGGATCAAACACAGTTCGTTTAATCTGTCAGTTCGTTATAAGCGTTTCGACTAAAATACACAGCAAGTGGCCTGGATAAAACACAGTTCGTTTTATCTGTCAGATCGGTATAAGCATGTTCGAAATAAGCGTAGTTTATTGTACACACCAATGATCATACAGTATCATAAATGTGTTTTGTACCTTCACTTTGTAGGATTTCCTTACAATTGTACCGTTTTGTTAACGTTTGTTACAGTTTGGTCAAGTGTATACTTCTTTCGCTTGTCGCTGTAAATGTAATGTTAGTACAATTGAACCATCAATTGTATACTCCATTGAGAATTTACACAGCTTCCAAAACATGTCTAGTCATGTGTTTTCATTCCATCTGTGTAGTCGTTGAAATTGTTGCATGCAACATCATTTATTATATTCCCATATCGATATGCGGTTGGACGTGGGGCTTTCGAGGAAAGTGGGAATACATGATCTATTACCTATTCTCAGCAAACGTGTACATGTTTGCCTTTTAAGTTCACGAATAAGCAACAGACCGTGACAAATAACAACGTAATAATGGGATGTAATATTACACATAACTGAGGAGTGAGTGATTGAGTTTTACGCCACATTTACCGATATAACGGAGGGGGGCACCAGAAATGAGCATCACACATTGCACCCATGTGGGGAACAGAACCCGGGTCTTTGGCGTGATGAGCGAACGCTTTATCCACTAGGCTGCCTCCGCGCTGGAGGAACACAACACATGTGGCTTACACAACACAGCTGACTGACACCTTCATGAAATGTAATCACAGTTCAAACGATAATCAATCACATAGTGTCTGGTAACATTTCCGAAATACGTTTGACATCATTGTCGCATTAAATTACGTTTACGTATGAACCACGGCGAAATTGCTGAGCTATAGAATCTGTTTCTATGAAATCCATGATTTGTACGACATTGATTCGTTATTTAAAGTACACCTAAACTGTGTGTACTTGTGTGACGTATGAGCAGGTTCAAAGTTACACCCAAAGGTCCGACTTTGTAAAGGCTTATGATGGTAGTATTTCGTGTTTATTGCAATAATTAATGGAATGCATCTGTGGAGCTTCACTAATTATTCATATATCGTGTTGCAACCACGCAAACAGATTTAATGGAGGGCAGATCGAGAACATATGCGACAAAGAATAATCAATTTACTATTGACCCGTTGACAAGTACAGGGATGTCATCCCATTTTACCTTGTTTGAGACAGTGGCCTGGCAGCGAGGCGTATGCTGAACATACAGCGTCATATCTGAACATGAGATCAAAACATTCTTGCAGTTCAGTTACTCAGTCACGATATAAGTGGAATTCGGGAGAACACGAACAGAATCTCCTTACAAAAACAATGATAATAATACTGATGATAATGATGATGGTGGTGTAGGTGGGATGATGATGATGATGATGATGATGATGATGGTTTGAATTGATTTCAGTAATCAATGCTTGTCGTGAGAGGCGACTGACGGGATCGGGTGGTCAGGCTCGCTGACTTGGTTCACACATGTCATCATATCCCATTTGTGTAGATCACTGGATTGTCTGGTCCAGACTTTATTATTTACAGACGGCCGCCATATAGCTGGAATATTGCTGAATGCGGCATAAACCTAAATTAAAATCACTCACTCACCCATCCCTATTTTCCCCCTGTGATATTGCTGGAATATTGCTTAAACGGCATAAAACCGATCTCACTCCATTTAATCGCCCTTACGTTTTTATTAAACAGGAAAAGTTAATTACCTTTGGGTACACCGTGGCTTCAAACATAGTCTAATTCACACATCGCAATTTACGTTAAACAGTACTGTTAATAGGCTCCATCAATCATTGTTGACGAGTTCCATCACTAAAGGGCAGGTTGCCAGGTTGGATCAGTCACGTGACGTGGTTTAATATCCGCGAGCAGTTAAGGTCGTGATTGCCTGGATCGTTTGCATATTGCGCATGCGTCGAAAAAAATGTGACGATGAGTCTTTTCGCCAAAGGTGTCATGTAAGTATGGATTTTTCTTGTTTATGTTATTTGATTTTATCGTTGAGAATATCAGAATAAAAATCAACTCTCGTTGCTAGGCAGACTGACAAGTGATGACAAGATATCATAAATTCATAATTGATCATAATTTCAGTTACGTCAAGATTTAAAGTCATACATCAACACATATATTCGTTCTGATCGCGTTGGAGATGTCAAAATGATGACTTAGGCGTAACCGATTGTTCGAGACATCAGTAGTTTGACTGATATATGGATATGGATTTAACGACATGGAACTCTCTCTTCCTGTTCTCAGATCCGGGAAAGATGCGGACTTTCCTTCTTCTCTGTCTAGTCCTCGGGACGGCAACAGTAACGGCTGTGCCGACTAGCTTTGGGTACGGCTACGCGCACAAGGTCAAAGCGTCAGGACTCCCCCTTTACGCCGACTTGGGCACCTACGGCCACGGTGGCTTATTTATGGGCAAATACGGTTCTAGTGGAATTGGCCTCTACAAGAACCTCTACGGTAATGGGTACTATGGCGTCCACGGCTTGTGGCAGCATGCAGGAGGGAAAATACTGTACCCTAAACTCGGAGGTATTGGTATCCATGGGAAGAATCTAGGTCCATATGGATACAAGCCCCTTGGACTGTGGGCTGGTAAAGGGTCCATAATGTATGGCGGTTATGGACACACCAATGGTCTGTTGTCTGGTCACTATGGTCAACTCTCTAACTTGGACCATGGAGCGATATTTGGAGGCTTTGGAGTTCCCTATGGCGGTATAGGGAGGGGGAACCTGCTCCACGGCTTTGGAATTGTCAAAAAAGGTAATCTGGTAGTTGTTCTTCTTTTTAAATGAAACAGTTCAAACGCTGGCTGACTGTACCCTGCTGTATGAGAGATTAATCTGAAAATAATCAGTAATCTGAGCAGTTATTGCATCATACAGATCCCATTACCTAACAATTTCTAAATGTGAAATATCGCAGTTGTTGCTTCTAACTGTTGAAGCGTTTAACTCAGGTAAGTAGTGATCTGAGAGTCATGCAATTGGTAAAATGTAACGCATCCTGCGATGTACCTGTTGCACGTTTTAGCTGATATTGCTTTTACGTTAATCGAACCATAGAAAAGAAGCATGAGACACCTTTAAAAACCTATCTCAACAATATCATGTTACGATCCATGAAGATCCGGATTAGAACTGATATTGCTCAACCCATGGTGAGGATTGTTGAGTTGCTTCATGCATACCATCGTATCCAAAATACGTTTCATACGGACCGTGTTCATATACACAAAGAACTCAATTAAGCAACGCCTATAGTTTTGCAATGATAGGTTTTCAACACGTACCTAAAACTTCTCGTGGTGACCACGATGGAAAAACATGAGTTTTCTGACCCATATGATCCGTTGACTCATGAAAGACGACAAAATGATTGGAATCCATGTTGATTTTATGATGGTAATTGCTCAGTTTAAAAAAATGAAGACACAGTCATAATCAGTGGCCCAGGTATAGAGGTAGACACGAACGTGGAAGTAGATCGTTATAGACGTATACATACACGTAGACGTAGATACAGTCGTCAACGAAGAAGCTGACTTTCGACGTAGACGCAGATACCGTCACCGTGTAACAAGAGTGTGTGATAACTAAACATCGAGACTCTTAGATTGAACTGAAATAACAATTTTTTTTGTATCTGAATGAGGTCCTTGTCCAGAAAAGAAGTGTTTTATATATCAGTGGCTTCCCATCTCAGGTCTACTGGTCTTTGTTTTAAGGCCACCACCAATATACAATATCTAAATGTTGAATTTATTGGTGAATGTGAACATTCAAAATGTCATTTTGTGTGTCTTACACAATTCAAGGTCAATACCGAGAGTAAACCAGATTCAGATTCAGATTCATTTTTATTCAGTATTTCGGGCCTAAAGGCCTATAGTACAAATACACTTGCTACAATTATATGCACGTGTTTGTTGTGGTGGCATTTCTTGCATTAAAGACATGTTTTAAATAAATTGCAATAGATTTGATAATATCAATATTTTTAGAATTTAACAGACTGGACAATGTTTGTTCATCTCTTACAGGTGTTTGTACAAATGATAAATACTTACTTCTTAAATCTAAATATTTGGTACACACAAATAATACATGAAATTCACTTTCAATATTACCTGTATTACAATTTTTACAGATGGATTCATTTACATCACTAAAAGCTCTATTGGGTTTGCGTAAATAGTGAATTCTAAAATCATGAAAGCCAATTCTAAATTTACACAACGCCCGTATTAACGATTTGTCGTGTAGGTTCATAATATAAAACTCCGGTTCTAACAGAGATTTATGAGAAGAATAGTGTTCTAAGAAACTTGAATTATTTATAGACATAGACCATTCTTGGAAGAAAATGTCCTGAAGACGTTGCTTAAAAACATATAAAAAATTACATTCATTTCCAACCATTTGTGAAATCCACACATGAGAAAATCCAGTCGAAAAAGTAGCTGTCTAACCTCTGATGCCCAATTGCTTGCCAATATCATCTTGTAGCTTTAGGAACATATAACTTTGCCTTGGGTACCTATAAGAATCCATTTTTAATAATTTCAACCAAAATTTTATTACTCGTAATCTGGTGAGTACAAATATATTGCAACGCCCAGTTTCCCCTAATACGGCCTTATTTGAAGCATACTTTCCCAAATTTAGGAAGCATTTAAAATATGATGCATGAACCTTTTCTATACAATGAAAGTATTTAGTTCCCCAGATTTCGGACCCATATAAAAGAATCGGTAAAATCTTACAATCAAAGATGGTACAGGCCGTTTTGAAAGAAATAAAAGAATTCTTTTTGAATAACTGATATACAGATTGCATAGCCTTTGATGCTTGAACAGATAAATGTTTACAGGCTGTTGACCAATTTAGTCTGGATGAGAATATTAAACCCAAATATTTATAATACGAAACACATTTCAGCCTTGTATTACCATAATACCATACCTCATCCTTTTTTAACACACCTCCATTTCTAAACACAATAATATTAGTTTTCTCAATATTAACACTCAAACCCAAAGTAATACAAAATTTATGCAAAACATTAAGTTGTTGCTGTAAACCATTAACTGTATAGGAAAACATATTTACATCATCAGCAAAAAGTAACATCATAATATCATCAATGTCTTGAGATATAAACACACCATGTTTACAGGATTTATATATTTCTGCAACAAGTTCATTTATAAAAAGATGAAAAGAATTGGGCTTAAAATGCAACCTTGACGTACTGCAGAACTTGTTGAGAACATATCAGTTTTACAATTACCAGTCTTTACACAAGATTTTACAGATGAATACATATTATGAAGAAGATTGTATAATTTACCATGGCAACCTGACTTAAGTAACAAATATAGAAGTTTGGCTCTATCAACATAGTCGAAGGCCTTTTTAAAATCTATAAAAGCACAGAAGAATCGCCCCTTAGGCTTAGAAAGATATTTGGAACATAAAGTCTGAAGGGTAAATATATTATCTGTAGTAGCATATCCGGGCCTGAAACCAGCTTGTGCTTCTGTTAAAATATCATTCAAGTCTATCCACAGACGGAGGCGTTTATCTAGTATTGATGTAAATATTTTCCCTGAAACATTTAGGAGTGATATACCCCTGTAGTTGTTTGGGTCGGTTGCACAACCTGACTTAAATAGAGGTATGGTTAGTGCAGAGTTCCAGGCATCTGGAAATATTCCAGAGTCTAATACTGAGTTAAATAGTGGTTTGAGGAAAGCAAGTAACGTCGATTGTCCAATCTTAAAAAATTCTGGAGGAATTCCATCTTCGCCAGGGGATTTACCAGTTTTCAGTTTCCTAATAGCCTCAGTGATTTCAAGTTCAGAAATATTATCAGACAACAATTGATCTATACCTGAGGAGTTCACACACTCATCACAATAATGGTTAGTTATAAAATCAGAAACATGTTGATCAAAGTCGTAGAGTAAACCACATGCCCTCGTGTCTTTGCGAAGATCAAAGATTTAAAAAATCTGTTTGAGATAACTCCCGACTCGAAATACCACACAGTACATATATATTATGACAGGACCGGACACTTCGGTGTACCCTACCCGCCTGCTTTGACGATCGCATGCAATCAATTAAAACTTAATGTAAACATGATCATGGATGATTGGCCTATCGATCCCCACTCATAGCACCTACCAATTCTTTACTGTTATTTCTGCAAGTCGATTGAAACCCGATTTTGACTCTCAAATAAACGATCTTGACACAAATGGATGACGATGTGTCCGCACAAAACGGGGGTGTGGTCGAATGTAGCGGGAAAATGGCTCAGTGTGGCGTTAAACAACCAATAAACAAAAATAGAAATTAGCATGTGAATAATATACTCGAGTGTACTCAACTGCAGTGTAAAGGTTATGTATACACCCGCGCATTTTGAAAATAAGATGTTATGCTACAGAAAAGTTAAGGTATTGCCATCAATTTAATCAACCTGTAGTTAAAGAAGCTTTATCCACTGACAGTTTTACAAATGTCATAACCTTTTCTGTTCTTTATGAAAGAATATGTTGATGAAAATGTGATGGACTGAATTTTTACCCAAAATAACCATTCCTCTCCTGCTCAAACTACACAGTTAAATTAAGTTTTGACTAAAAATAACAATTCTGTTATATACCAACATGACATTTACACATCAAGTAAGCTTTAATTATGCATAATCAGTTTGAACGCGAATGTCAAAGATTCAGACCTTTTTCCAACAATTCAGATTGCTAATTGACAAAAACTGAAAAAGGCCACATTAATAAGATTTTGGAATAATTTTCTTTATGATTTTGGGTTTATTGTAATGAATAAATATTTTCTCCTTGTCGGATACTGATAATTGCAGCTAAAATCTGTTTGTTTTGTTTGTAAAGCAACTTTAACTGCATTTTAAAATTTTCCTTTTTTTCAGTTTGACTATAACTTTTCCTCAATCTTATTTTACAAACTTTCATCCATTCACAATAAATAACGAATTTATAGGCCACACAACAATCAATTATTACTTTTACTTTTTCAAAATACGGTAACTTGTTTTAGGACAGAAAAAACACCTGTTTTAAATATAGGCAATTATCCTAATTAAAATACATTGTAAATGGTTATTTCAATGATGTTTTCGTTTTTGAAATGTTAAATGCTTGCTCTAACAAACTATAAAGGTTATTTTTTGGAAAGAGTTTAGAATTTCATTTGAGACAAAATTAATTGTTAAAAATCAGGGTGGTGCTTATTTTATGCACAGATGTATAGTTTAAAGTGGATTTCAAATTATCTGTTGACCTACTCAACATGTACATTTTTTCAAGAATATTTTCAAATCAAACCGAATACTCACATTCTCACTTAAGCAGTTTCAATTCAATATAACTTTGCACGGACAATTTTAATAAGATTAATATACTTTCAAATGTGTGTTGTCCTTAAGTCAAGTAGGCATATGTCGATGGTTATAAATTAAAATCAATAAAAGAATTCTTACCAGCTATTGCCATTTAAAAATTGTGTTCCAAAGAATATTTGGTGAAGTGTTGTATAACTATATATTTATGGTTGTATTTTCAGGTCATGCATTCGGTGGTTCTGTGGCGTACTACTAGAAGGGATTAACAGTATCAGCTTGTTAAAGAGTACATACAATCAACCTCGCTAATTCGAATTCGACCATCGAAGGCATGAACATATCGAGACAAGCGGAGTGTTGATATTGATCGACTGGTATCATATATCTGGGCAATGGAGTTCGAGATGCCGAGGGGTCACTCTATGTATTAACTGTACGGAAAACAAAGAACATATTGGGGACAGGTTCACTAGACAAACTATACATCTGCAATAAATGAAAAAAACAAAAACGTCTTGGTTGTATTGTTGATTAGTATGGATATAACACGTTAGCTTCAGAAAACAACCTACCTATATCAACCGACGAAGCGCGTCCCATTGGCTTAAAAGCCGAAGCAGAGCCTGAAACTCATAGAAATTTGTTCAACGTTGACGTTTTAAGGTTGCATATGAAGTGTTCCTATGTGCGGTGGGCGAGCTGGCTAAGGCGCCAGGCTAGTGATCCAGCGAGGTTGAGGTGTCGGGATCGAGCCCACCTGTGACCGGGTGTAAAAACCTTGGAGTCAACTTTGTGTGCAGACTCTTTCAGTGTTGTCACAACCCCTAGTGTACAGTACACAACCCTGTGCACTTAAAAGAACCCACGAATCCGTTGGTATATGACCAGATGGTGGCCACATGAATACGTGCAAACACCTAGTTGCGGGTACAGCAACGTGCAGTGAACTTGGACAAAATACTGTGACTATGTGTCCCAGTCCACCCAGCTGTGAATGGGTACCTCGTTAGGATGAGAAAGCCACAATAACTCGGTGCGCCTAGTGGCTGCAATAGTTGTATACTCCCCAGGGAGTTGAGATTGATAATACGATGTGCCATTGAGATTGACATCCAATGGTCGAGGGAAAAAAATATTAGCGCCTTGAGCAAGCACTAGTTGCCTGGATATGTGCGCTATATAAGTATAATATAATAATATAATAATAATGTGTGTCATGTTGTCGAGTCTTCGTGTTGACAGAACAACATAACATTACACGTTAAGGCCTCCGCCTTTAAATAGATATTCTATGGGAGACAGCCAGAGAGTGTGTGAGAGAGGGAAAGTAAGGGGGTGGGAGAGAGTATGGAAGAAGAACAAGACGAGTGTGAGAGAGACGGAGAATGAGAGAGCGGTGTGTGAGAGAGAGGAAGAAAGAGACAAGGAGAGTAGGGAAATGGAGAGAAACTGACCGAGAGGGAGAGTGTAGAATAGGTAGAGGAACAAAAAGAGTTTGGGAGAATGAGAGAGTGAGAGAGGGGGGGAGAGAGAGTGAGAGAATATGAAAGACGGGGAGGACAGAACGAATGTGAGAGGGAGGGGAAGGGAAATAGGGAGAGACTGTGTGACCGAGAGAGAGAGAGAGAGAGTAGAGAGAGATTGTACAGACCGAGGCAATTCTTGACATTTTCAGGTCACAGGTAATCTCGTCTCCGCAGTCCACACGCTATCCGTCTATTTACATACTGTCATCATTGACTGCAAACACCCTCTATCGGGCAGATGTCAGGAAGTGGTTTGTTTACGGAATACCTACCGCTGGATTAAGCCGAGGGTATATCGAATAACACTTAGGTCAACTGCTATTGGCATATTTATTCAATGTCATTCGTGTCAGAGAATGGCCTGTCTGCACAGTTATGTCATGTCTGGTTGGACATCTAACACCGATGCAGAGTATTTAAATGCAACATGAAACGTCCTACTACCACGGACTGTAGACACGTGAAGATCATACCAGATTATGCTAATACAATTTATTGAAATGTCAAGTGTTTACATATGATCACATTAGGAGTTCATGGACGGCAACATATTGATGACATCGGTAGTAACATCAATAACAGACATCGATTCCATGCCAGACTTTCGATAGTTCGACAAATGAAAGGATTCGACTATTCGAGGACCTAGCAACCTAGATATTTGGTAATATTCGGAATCAGTAAATCTGATTGTCAGGTTCGCCGACGCTTATTAGTTTTTGGCACGGTTCCCACGGTCGAAAGCTATGATTACATTGTGAAATCAAAACCAAGGTGACAATGATATCCATGCATTACGGAATATGCTTGGTTTTTTCATATGAGGCACCTGTTCTGATCTAGATGTGTGATGTATTGAGTTAGTACTATAATATAGCGTACCACGGTTTCTTTGGAATTTGCTAAATGCATCTGAGGGATGCAACTGGGTGCAACTGGGCACCGAGAGATTGACCATTCCATGGAGTCTTCACATCCCCCAACTCCTTGGTTTGAAAACGTTATAACATTGGATAACTTGATGAATCTGAATTCCAGATTTGTTAAAAACATGTCATTCGGTTTAGCGACGTGGACAGTGTTTCCAATGTAATTGTGGATTTCTATCTATTTATCAGAGCAAACTTCGATGTAATTGTTTGTATTTCTCTGAATTTCTTGACCAAAGCATGATATGACGTCATCATTAACGCTCTCGATTCGAAAAGTAAATTTACAGGTATCATGTGAGTCTGGTCAAGATGAAACCCCATAATGGATTGATTTGTCTCCAAATACTATCAAAAGCATCTATATGTTACAGAGTAACAAGGTTCGCATTGGCTGACAAAGGATTTTAACCGATGTGAATGTTCGATAATAACAATGGCCAAAGTATACTGTAGAGAAGCATGTAAGCCCTCCAATGGGACATTCTGTGCATTCGGGTCAACAGTGTAACCATGCCCATCTGTCTGGTGTCGATGTACATCCATATGTTTAAACATCCATGTCCAATATGGACGTATACACTGATGTAGACGTAGAAGTACACGTGGATATAAGGTAGTTGTAAAATGCAGAAATATACGTCCTAGAAAGACGTAAATCCAGACGTTGACGTAGACAAAGACGTAGATATAGTCATGATGTTTACGTTGTCATAAAGAAGACGCGGATGCAGTGACTCCCATGAGTATACTTGAATTTAGACACACCCAGGAACGAACATACAGTCATAATCAGAAGCTCAGGTATAGAGGTAGACACGAACGTGGACGGAGATAGTTATACACGTATACATACACATAGACGTAGATACAGTCGTCAACGATAACGCTGACTTTCGACTTAGACGCACATACCGTCACGAGTGACAAGAGTGTGTGGTACCAATAGATCGAGAGGCTTACATTTTACTAAAAATACAATTCTTTTTCGGCCCTTGTCCAGAAAAGAAGTATTATATATATCAGTGGCTTCCCATCTCAGGGGTCTGTCTGCTGGTCTTTGTTCTAAGGCCCTCACCAATATACACTATCTGAATTATATCTAAGTATCGTCCTATTATGCAAGGTAACTGTCGTTTTAAGATGTGCTCTGCTTTCAAATGACAACGGGAAGCACTGTCCAGTTGTCACAGTCATATTGTCATATTTGGAAAATAAACTAAATACCATAAAACGCTGTGAACGTTTCAAGGCCCTGAAAGGCCTGATCAAACAATCATTGAGCGTGTGTCATATGACAAATTTAATACAATGTTTACACGCAATATACATTTTCCCGAGGGCCCGGATAGACAGCATATGTTGTCTGTAAACAAGAACATTCTTTCCGAATCAATTGTTTATCTTCCTCCGATGTGTCAGAAATACACGTTGTCCGAGGACAGTGACACAGTGGAGACATCAACAGATCATAAAGCATTGGTCACTGACCACTCTTACGCCTAATGGGAATCAAATACGAGCATCTGGTTGAGGGAACATGTTGCAGGCAAACACCATTTCTGTACATTTGTCCGATTCCTACGGTCCGTTTACGAGTATTGATAACAGCTTAACAAGATCCATCTGTGTCACCTGTCACTGAAGCAGTGACTAGCCTTGTATATGATTGATACTAACAAATACTGGGTAGAGGTTCAATCGGTTTACTGGGTACATTGCACCATGTGTTCGAACTGCATTATTTCTTGATAAAGCAAATGCTAAAAAAGGTGGAACTGGGCAACTGGCAAAAGTGTGTTATGATTTTCTATTTTCAATATGCTCTCTTTGCTATTTTTGACATATTATCAATTCAAATTTACTGGAATAATTACAGCAATTAATTTAGTAAAACCTGTATGATTTTAACGGAATTCGGAAGCATACAATGTCTTGTGTCTCATCCAGATTGAATAGCGCGGGATCATCTGTCAATTCTTTTGTCTAATCATACAGATGGATGAGGGATGGATTGATGGATGGATTGATACATTAAAGGATGGATGAATCCTTGACCTTTGCTCATAACGCTGACGTTCAACCTTTGAGAAAGCATCACCGTTAATTATATGTTAAAAGGTGTTTTAACACGAAAATGGCACGTTTTTCATATGTGAAACACAATGGAATGTCAAAATTAGTCAATATCAATAGTTGAAAACATACACTCTTTTGCACACATTGAAAGTAGAACGAGCAATATAAGTGTTGAAATGTTATGTCATTATGACGCCTTTGCTGTTCGAGCTAAACAGGCCCGAGTTACCTCCGTTAGATTAGGACGTCCCTGTGCCGAATGATTTAAACTAGTCCCCTGTCTATAGCTAGTCCCTAGCAAACACTTTCCATACTGAAATAAATCGAGTGAAAAAGTTCAATAAATCATTTTTAAAAATGCCAGCAGCAGGGTAGATTGATTGTGTACATTTTCATTCATAAACGTCGCCTCAATGAAATACCAAACATATACTTCCCATCTAAAGTTTATACTCACTAGTGAAAATGTAGCCACTTACTTCAGTCAACTGTTCTCATCTAGATTTTGCAAAATATTCCATACTGCTTAAAGGTAATGTTTACATGTGAACTGATGTATTGTAAAACAACTTCTTAACGCTGAAAAACTATTGTTATGAGTTCAATAAATGATGAAACGCGAATTCTTGACAAAACTTTACACCAAAACGCAGCTTTTACATTCACGATATTTGCTAGGGGTGGGTATTGCAGGGAATTTTCATATTGCAATATATTGCGATACGAAAGCATGTATTGCGATATGTATTGCAATATATTGCAAGAAGGTTTTTTTAACAAAAAAGTACTTATAAGCAATAGTCGAGTAAATGCTTGATTTATAAAGCAAAAACACAACAAAATCCCAATGCTTGATTAGGCTTTAATAAAAACTTGTAATCATGACAAAATAAAAATGTAAATAATGTTTGGCACTAATGAAACAAGGAAAGGAACAATATAAAAACGGAAATATCCGAAGATTTCCGAGTGTTACGAAGTTTTCCGATTGCATGTCAAAATACCGGTTTTCGATCAGCGTATCGCAATACGTATTGTTTTCATGTCTGAACCGGTAAATACCGGTAAACCGGTTATATTGCGCAGCCCTAATATTTGCACATGCTTTTCAGCAATTTGATGCATAATCCTCATGCAATTCATCTGCATAAGGTTTGCAGTTGGTTCCCCCAAGTTAGTGGAGAAATTCATCTTCGATGTAATCATATATCTATACATAACATATAGTTAGTGTTTTCAGTGAGTCTATACTGTTGATGGGAAGTATATTTAGCATGTTCACTGACGTATAGCATAACTACCTGTTAGCGACTTACAAATGGCGTGTTCAGCGACACGAAGGAGAATTTTGTTAATTTTGTAAATGCATAAATGTGACTTCCACCTGCGTGTTATTTTTTTCACAAGGGAAATAGCAAGAAATGAGAAAAAGTATCGTTAACGTTATGCATGAGTTTACGGTGAGTTTCGACGTCACGCTTGACGTAAACTATTACAAATGGTGTTGAATGTACCAAATCATTCAAATGCATCCATTTTCATTTCCCCAATTCTTGCTACGATGCTCTTTCTATGCATATTCGTAAACTAATTAGCAAGTGTATGCAACGAGTAGAAGAATGGATCCGTCACAATATGAGAAAATGATAAACATTGTAAAATCTTAACTTCGTTTTCTTTACATTTTAAACAAGTGATAAATACCGAAAGCGACGTACCGAAAAATAGCAAACGTATATTCACAGATGGCTAAGTAGATCTGAACGTTTTGGATTTGCTGAACGGAAAGACAATGTACTCAATTTGAATATTCTAAAACACTGTGTGCCGAAATAACGTTGTAATTTTTTTTGTATAATGTAGAGTTTTGAAACTGCGATGTCACAGTGCGGCGCTAAGCGGTGCACAACATAGCTGAGGGCCAGGCACCACTGGGTTCAACAGTAGGGTGTGCATCGAGACACAGGAACCACACCCCTGTACCTACAGTACTACACCACGGGAAAAGGCTCTAAAGACGTCATTCGTGTATCAGTTGGCACCAGTGACATCATATTTCAAGGGACATAACCCAATGATCAGTTTATGATGGAAATAGACCTTTCGTTAAATGTGCAAAATATGAATCCACATAATGCAAAAAATCAATAGTTTCTTGTGATATCTGTTCTTAACTACCATGTAACTACTAGATAAATATTTTAAGGTTAAGAAAGTCCAGGAGAAAGAGGTGTATTTTCATGTAACCGTGCCCTTAATGAAACACCACACATCGCTTTTCGCATGATTGATCACTTCATATTATTGCCACGAAATAGCACAATTGGTGTGTTGCCCTTACGTTAATGACAGCTCTGACTGACCAATAACTGGGTGCAACTGGGCAGCGAGAGATTGACCATTCCATGGAGTCTTCACACACCCCAACTCCTTGGTTTGAAAGAGTTATAAAATTTGATACCTTGATGAATCTCAATCCAACATTTGCTTAAAACATGTCATTCGGTTTAGCGAAGTGGACAACGTTTCCAATGTAATTGTGGATTTCTATCTATTTATCAGAGCAAACTTCGATGTAGTTGTTCTTCCCTGTATGTCTTGACCAGATAATGTCATCATTAATGCGGTCGAATCCAAAAGTAAATTTACAGGTATCAAATGAGACTAGTCAAGATGAAACCCCGTAATGGATTGATTTGTATCCAAATATACTAATGTCAATAATGGTTGTCACCCCACTTCCCACCCCAACCCCACACACACCTCACACCCACACCCCACACCACCTCTCCAATTAAAAAATTGAAGGGGGTGACAACCATTATTGGCATGAGTATACTATCAAAAGCATCAATATGTTAAATCCGAAATACATCAGTAGAAGTTAACGGGAGCGAGGGATACAGAACGCAACATAGATGTGTACACTATGTACCTAAAATCTTTATGACAAGTGTCAAGAATCAGAGAAGCTGTGATACAGATTTGACAAATAAAAGCGACAAAGCGCTTTCCACAATACAAAATCTATGACCAGGGAGGACGTTGTATGATTCTGACTATATCATAAGTCATTGATCGCCCCCTACTCACACATCAGGCCGCAAAGTGTATTGGCTATGTTACACTGATTGATTGTTTAACACCGTGTTCACTCGGCAGAGCGTTTTCATACTGCCTTTTCCCTGGCCGCGACAAGATGTGGTTGACCGTGGCTCTGATAGCTAGTGGTATTCTCCTGGTGAAATGCGACAAAGTCACAATCAGGCCGGTGAGTCATCTTATCATGACAGTGTTGACTAATAATTCTGTGAAAACAGAATATATAATTTTTAAATTGTATGAGGAACATCCCACCTTAATGGTGGAGTCGGCTGAAAAATTTGCAAGTAGCTATGACGGTGTCTGGTATGATTGAGATTGTGAGGATGGGGGCTATTGTTTCAAGTTTCAGTATTGTTGTTCTACTACAGCTGTAAAGAATTACAAATGAAGACATTTCCTTTTTTCTGAAATTAGTCGAGTTGTATTTGTTTAAGGAGAGTCTTGCAACCGTCTGTTTTCATGAAGCAGACAATGTCTTTCAGTATAAAGGTTCGAAAGGACATTGTCTTGGTAGAATAATACACATTTGGTGAGTTTTCCACACTTCATAGTCTTACCAGTTGCCTTGGCACATAAGCCGAACACTGGTCATTAATTGTCTGAACTTACTTTTGTCAGATAGTAATCCAAAGGTATTCCTCTGGACTCCTCTGAAATCCCTCAAAACCGAAGCCAATTTACAGGCCAAATCAACAGACTTTCCCGTCTGTAGATGTTTGCACTGCATTAACTAAACCGTGGTCAGGGTGAACCCAGGACCTCAGCATAATCGGCTGGGTTCAATTCAGTTCACATCTGGAGTGTTTCAAATCCAGAATGAGATTCCTTGGACCCGAGCGTTCTCGATCATGTGCCATGCCCATTTGATTCCCCAGAATCTTACTAACACTATCAAGAAGGATTCAGAAGTCCACGGGTATATATGTGGCAAGTGATGTCGTCTATCATCCTCAATAGCATCAAGCATTTTATCAAAACTATTCCATAATGGTGGCAGCTGAAGATCTTCCAGATCTTGGATCGGCTTTGAGACTTTCTATGTCCACACAATCCAACAAAAAGTGGCTGTCAGGTGTAGGCCTGGGAAACAGAACACATTGAAGGGGATTTTCTCCTTACAAAAAATGAGTGTGTATAATGAGAGTGTCGAGTACGACACCTTCGGATCACCACTTCCTCTTGACAATTTAGACCAGTAAGGGCATTGTACCCTATCAAAGGTTCTATGGCATGAAGCTTATCAAATACTTGATTGTTCCATCCACACTGTTTTGACGTATTGCCAAACAACACATTTTAGGTCAGTGTATGGAAAAGTACGGATTGCCATTGACTTCTCAAGAACTGATTTAGCTGCGGGATCCGTCTTCGAATTTCCCCTATTCTTGACTGAGCAGCCTACTATCAGAATTTCAATGTAAGCCACAGACAGATTCAAATGCCATTTCAAAATTTCAACCAAAACCATTGTCTGCAGGCAGGATAAACTATCTGAAATTATGATGAATCTGCTTTCCCAGGAACGTTTAATAAGTTCCAAAGATAATAACATAGCTCTAGCATCTGCCGGAAAGATGGGACTTCCATCGGTTAATCGTTGTGATAAAGTATCATTATGAGTAACAGCTGCAGCTAACGCTTTTTCTCCATTCTTTGATTCATTGGTGTCTACTCTTGTATGATTGACACTTTGATGTTTAATTTTCAGAAAGGCTTGTTGATATGACAAGAGGTTTGTTTCAGCCTTTTTCAATTTGTAATTAACATCAGGTTGTATTGATTGCCAAGGGGGCAATTCAGGAAGTTGAAATCAACAATTGTAGAAAATGACCCTTTTCCCAAATATAGTTAAGTTTATATATAACACAGACCTAAAAGACAAGATTCTGGAAGATGCTTCAATAACGGATAATGGACGCCATATGACCTAGACGGTGGTGTATCATGAGCCTTCATCAAAGCCTCACGTAATTTGTTCAACTACAATGATCAGTGTAATCTTCAGAATTAGCAGAGTGAACATTTTGAAGTTTTTTTTCCTGCTAGTTTTGAAATGTTTGGAATGTGGGAGTTGGCAGAGGATGAATTTGCACTACTTCTTCATGCCAACTCATTAGCAATGTCGTTTCTAGATGTTTAAGTATTATTCTTTTGTGTTGGAGATGGTGAATACTGTTTGTGGATCATTATAGTTTTAGTCGTCTGATCATATTCCATACTGTATTTATTTTTGAAACAAGCCTTTTCCAATTGTTTCGCTTTGTTTTTTAATAGTTCGGGTCAGTTGTTAATAAATATTCTTTCCGATTTTTTCCTAGCATGTCTAGCCTTTCTACAGTCATTTGCTATACCATAGGTTATGTACACGTGAATTTGTCTTGGTTTCAGGGACAGATTTCACAGAGATATCAAGTAATCCCTCTAAAAGGGATTTCATTGGATTTGTTTCATTAAATCAGAAGTTGTGTTAGCCTTACCCAAAGTACCCTTATCATGCATGTTAAATTTCCATTCAGAAGAAGGTGAGTTAGCAAAGGCGGTAACAGTTTCGAGAACAGAGGGAAAACGGTCACTACCACATAAGTAAGCGTACGTGTGCCTGACCATGAGAATTCAATCAAGAGAGAAGGATTTGACATAGATAACTTTTATGGCAGAGCATGTACCTGTAGCTGGATGTAGATATTTATCTCCGCCATCGTTAAACAAACACAGATTGTGCTACTGAAGCAGGCCCTCCAGTACTTTACCTTTATCATTGGGACTTGCTGTGGCCCACAGTCGATTGAGACCATTAAAGTTCCCAACAAGCAAAAAAGGCTTTGGTAGCTGGTCAACTGGATGAAGTCCTTGACGTGGAGAGCTGCAGAAGGAGGGGTTGTATAATGAACATAAAGTAATGGCAACATGGAGAGTTAAACACATTCCCACCGCTTGAAGATTCGAATTAAAAGAAATGGAACAGTGTAGTGTGCCTTGTCTAAAACAAATCCCTGAGCCACCAGATATGTCTTTATAGCTTTAGCACAGAAAGTATACATGTTATACTGGCGCACGGTCAGGTTATCATTTTCTTGCAAATATGTTTCTTGTAAGCTGTTGGTATAGGATTATATGAACGTGCTTGGCTTTTAACTTCATGAAGGTTTGAACTTAAACCTCGACAATTTCTCTGAATTAATGAGTTTGTATAACTCAATTAAGGAGGTGTAACTTGTGATAGCGCTCTCCCTTTCGTTTGTGATAAGTTACCACTGGTATCCATACTTCCATATCCCCATCCTCAGGCGACTCATAGTTATTGTATAGTTGCGCATGATCCTTGAGTGACACTCTTTCAGTTTGATGCTTCTTTTTGGGAATTACAACATTGTTCGTTGTGTTTTTTGCATTGTTTCCGAAGATGTGGATGTTATCGCAGTTGATTTTGGCGATGTAGCTTGGTTTTCAATGTCAGAAGCTTGCATTTGTGTGTCGCAAAATTGTTCCTGACAAATCAGTCTGATACTGTATTGACGTTGTTTGAACACTTTTAATGGTTTTTGCTACAGAAGCATAAGAATGCGTTTGCCGAAACAACTGATCATGATTGTTTCGGTGTATCTGCAAATGTTCTCATTTGATATTTTGAGACTTAGTACTTATATTCCCCACAGTCAGTCGAAGATAACACATAAGAGCATTTTAATGACTGAGTGCATGTGTCACCATTATGGTCAACTCTGCATTCTGCGTATGTCCGAATTTCTGACATTTGAAACAGCTTGTAGGTTGAGGGATATAAAGGTCCACAGGCATGGAGAAACAACCAACCTTGTTAGGTAAACCTGTTCTGTCAAAGGTCAGCAGATAAGTGTTGGATAGAAACACAACGTCATCTTTGCGATATGTGAATCGTTTGACTTCGATTACCCCTTGACTGTATGATTTCATCAGCTAAACTGTGATCACGGTCTCGGTTTAAGTCTTTGTTGAAATTAAGGGTCTTGTGCGAACAGTTTACGGGGATATAAGTCATGAAATTGAGGCTTGTGACTTTCTATCAGAAGAGCTCTTGTTTGTAGTTAGAATTTTTTTTTTTTTTGGCATCGTTTAATTCACACAAGCGTTACCTTCAACGGTTTTCTCCATAAAAAATGCTGAATACGAAGCTAAAGAGCCTTCACCCTTAGCTTCCATGACTAGGAACTGAGACCTCCGCCAGCGGAATCCCGTCCTCCACCGAAATAGGGACGCATCCCACGGCACAAATTGCTTGTCTGGTACGACCAGTAATGGAGCGCTCTGGACACATTCTACTCCGGCGGAAAGCTATTATCCAACACTCAACATGAGGAGGTTGCTCGTCACGAGTGCCTCTAGATCAGTTAGAATCAACACGTATTTACTCAGTTTGGAAACGGGACTCCACCTTGTCCAATTTGTTTATTGTTATATGAAACACCCGAGTCCCAAATACTTAAACATTATAAATATCAATAATGACTAAGGATTCTCTCAGGCTGAAAATGGAGCATTGTGCCCTGAGATTGACACAATATCCGGATGGATAACTCTTGGAGGTTGCTCTTTCAGAACATTTTAAGAAGTGCTAAGGTGTGTCCTTGAGAATACTAAACCTGTATTCAGTATGTATAATGCACCCAACATCTCATTATACATTCAAATTGTATTATGGTTGAAATGTCCTCTCACTTCATAATTGAAATGATTTCATTGGATTTATCAATAACGATAACATCAGGATTGATAGGTTGGTAGCGTCTGCGACTCTATACGACAAATGTATAATTGTCTTTTCCTATGACACGTCCTTCAAATTCTGGATGAACTTCAGAATCAAGAAGACGGTGATTCAAAGATGGAGCCCATGTATCACGTGACAGATGATTGTGCCTATTCTGGGCATCCCCTGACAAGGTGTTGGACAGCCTCTTTATATCCAAACATCATCTACAGTTCATACAGACTGATCAACACATTGGCGGTTTCGAGTAGGTATTGGCTGTTCCACATTTCAGGTCGACTTCATACAAGCAAAGAACTCCGCAGAGTTGCTGTTCCACACTCTGCACACAGACTCGATTCATTGCTCATTCAGATATGTTTATTGTAAAAACTCAGTGCCAATATAATATGGCATTTAGACTGGTTGACACGCATTTCGTCCAGTCAAGAACCATCAACACATTCAACATTGATGTTACGTCAGCATCTGAGAAAACAGAGGAATCCCTACTTTTCATCTTGAGCCTTGAAACGCTTCACAAGATCATCAAATAAATATATGTTTACAAAAATGCATGATAAAATTGTGTTAGGAAAGGCCTCTTATATGTTGTGTTGTTTAGATCAATACAGATAATAGTCAATGCCAACTAACCATTTTTCATTCACAGTAATGTGTTACGGTCCAGAGAGAAAGATAGATCACACAACTCTCTATGAACATTTACTTCTGACAGACTAACTATATATCTTGCAAGAGATATGCTCTTCAAAACAATGTTTTGACGGTTTTCAAGAAGGTCGATGAATTACAATTAATTTTGGCAATCATCTTGCATCACACAGTTGTTAGTGTTTGTTTCTTGCCGGTCTATTTTTAAATGAAAATTGTACACATGCAAATTTCATGTCATACACCAATAATCTTTCAAGAGCAATTACTGTACAAACAACTATGATCATAAGAAAGTGCAAGTGGTGATGCACTCTCAAAACATTCATTATTATCCTATGAACATTGATTGACTCCGATATATCTCCCAGTGTTTTTAATTGTAAATTAAAACTGAAGTTCCACTACTTATACAATAATAGCACACAGCTACAAGTGAAAACAATCAAAAGGTCTTAATTCTGGATGAGATCATTTACCATGTCCCAGCAAGATCCCCTGAATATCAGCACAGCACACAAGTCAGCTGGAAGAAAACTGAAGCAAAATATACTGAATTCCCATTAAGCTGACATGACTTGACATAATCAACTTAAGTTCCATTCACGACATGGCCCGTCCCTTCTCGACCACTCACATCAAATTAAGGACGAGTTCCATTATGTATTTGCAAGTAAAGCCCCGACAGGTGAACGGTACTCTTTCCACAGTGAGTATTATCATAAATAATAACATTGATAGACTTCTAAAGTGCCTGGTATCCATCGCTATGTGATCACTGGCGCTATGACAAAGTTAAAACAAAGTCCAAACCAAATGACTTAACATGTCAAAATACTTATTGAGCTTAATAAGATACATGTCCTAATATTGCCACAACGTTTAAACCATTCGCATGCCTACTTGTAATTTATATATATTAATGCGTAAAACTCCTGTACACCTATTGGTGGTTCCTTCGAGTAATGTAGGGGTATCACAGCATCCCTATGCTCTTCAGCTTACCACGGCTCCACACAGATAATGGGAAGTTATGTCATTGTCATTGGTCAACAGGATTAGTGACAATCGCTTATAATCCACACTTATTTAGCACAATACGTGTAGAAAGGATCAACATACCCAAAATGAAAGTACTGGGTATGTTTGATATTCCCTGAATGGCAAGTAAACACGTGTATTATATCTACGTCTATAACTCTCATTGGTTTTAGGGCAGCTAATGATGGAAAATGGCAATACTCATTATCTTTCTGTATCCCAGGTACCGCTGTCGGATCTAAAGGAGGCCACCCCTCCGAAGATGGAGCCTCACTTCATGTTGAACGGTGTTGACGATTCCTTCATAAACCAGGTAAGATCACATACACAGAAAATATAAGAGGTGCTTCTTCCAAGAAAAACACGACGAAGCCGTTCCTATATTCACCCGAAATCAATGCTTAAAGCTGAATCCATTGTACAATTCAAATTTGCACAGAGCAGTGTTTCACAAAATAAATTAATTAAAAGTAAGTAGTGATGATATCGGCTGTTGGCGAACAGATGAAGCTTATCTTATCCCAGCGGTGAAACACCTCGCAAACACACGCAAAGGCAAGTCGGAAACGTACAGTGGACCAGGGATTTCTTACAACTTTGAGACGATTTTGGTTGCTCTTGTTCCTCTTCTCGAACTTATGGTATTCAGCGAAAGTGGCACTGGTATAATGTTTTCAAACATATCTCATTAACTATTTTGGATGGTTTGAACATAAAGGTTTGCTAGTTAAAGAACCGTTTAGATCCATCTCTGAGGCAAGACAATCGTCCCAAAACACACACACACACACACAGACACACAAAGGAGACTATTGCTTGAACTGTCCCTAGCCCAGCTTGTATTAACTTTGTGTTTTGTGTTTGTGTCACTGTGCAACTTTTCAGAGAGGATGCTGATCGGAATTTGAAACTCTTAGTTCTTTAAGCGTGTTGACTGGAGTTGACGCAATCAATTCCATGTAAGCTGTTGTTGCTCTTTAAAACCCAATCCAGAAACTTCATACGTGTTTCATTCATAGAATCAACAATGTAATCTTATTAGCTGAGATAAGAATTCATAAAATGGAGACCACTGACCAATCCTTGCCACTGCATCTACTTCATTCTTTCACTAAAATTACTTTTATTTCCTACCCGTGAAGAGCTCACCTCTTTTGTAGCATATTACAAGTACGCCTTCATTAAACAGTGCTAAAGGACACAATGTGCAAACCGGACTATTTGTTAAAGCGGCTGGTCATTCAAGTGGTAAAATTAAACTGTTCTCAGGTACGTCTAGACAGTTCACACGCAGATATCAGATCAAGATCGGGACTACTTTTGTCACAAAACAACAAAAGCATAATCGGCATAAGCATTTCAAAAGGGTATTGCAGACTTTGACTTCAACATGTCACGTACATATAGAAGTTTCTTCTTTGGGATGTCTGTGGAAGTTACTACTATAAAAGAAAATGATTTTGGAATCGGTATCTTATCTCTTCTTATGATCGAACTGGGAGAAAATGGCGTACTTTATTGCCAGTGTGCACCCTGTGAGAACATTCTGAAGTCCGATCATTAGCTGCGAATGTTATGGCTTTACGCAGTCCTTACAGCAACGATGGATGTAGCTTTGAGTTCAGGAATGTTCACAGTTTACGTCAAGGCTTAAAACATTTCCCTCGTCATACCTCGTTAAATATTGTGTTTTATACTCGCGCTACATAACAAATACTGCTACGAACACCATTATTGATTAACGTTTTATGAAAACCTATGCCGTGTTCTGTCACGTGTAATAATTAATATTCAAGGACGTTTAGGATAAACTATGCCGCGACATCTGATCATGATTGATCTGTCGCTTCAGATACAAATATCAAAATTAACTTTATATAATTTACATGGAAGCATAAGTAACTGAGTGTTTGGTCCTGTTTCTTTTTTGTTTATTCAAACAAAGCAGCACTCAGCAAAATTCCAAGAAAATATTGACGACCTGAAAATACTCGAGAATCGACCAGAGAAACCAGTGACTGGCATAATACTAATATAGTAACAAAACACCTTTCTAAATTTAAATAATTGTTCCTTTGAGAAACACAAGGAACAGTGGTTGAATTAATTAACTGCATCGCACACCATTTTCTCACTGATACCCAAATTATTGCTCGTATCATATTTTACACAAAACATGTGGAATGAACAGACCAGTAGCTGTTTGGGGCGAGACAGTGAAACTACCAAACATCCCCAACATAGTAAAGTGTTCGGTAAAGTTGGAGGACATGTTTCTTTCGAATCCATCTCTGTGTAGTATTTCTTGTGACAAAAATACCACATCCTGTCTTTTTATCATAACGGGTTATGAATTCCAGTCTAACTTTAGAACTAAAACATACTACACAAAAGCACGTGAAGACCTATCATTTCAAACATGTATGGCATTGATTGTACTCTTTGTGGATCGATTTATGTTGGACACAAAAGAAACACGAGTCAGCCAGCATAGATCGGGCATCAATAAAAAAAATTACTGTTAACAAACATTTTAATTCTGAAAATAACTCAATCATGTGCATGAAAAACATGTACATGACATGTGGAGAACATTTCCAAATTTGACGAATCACTGACAAAAATGGTGTCCGATGCAACTGCCTATTTTGACCTGTGCCACACGTCCCCGATTTGTTTCAGGTGAACAATTGACTAGCCTTCGCATGTGTTTATGACGGATGCCACTGGTGTGAGCAGGAAACGCTTACCTTTTCACGAAGGTCTGCTATCGTTCACGTTCACGATATAGTCGGAATTGTCCAGTCGACTCAGCTTTTAGCAAAGATTTCTAGACGTGGATGATTTATGTGGAGAGGCTTTTGTCGGTTTTATGTATGTAACATATTGGTGGATTGAAATGTAAACCTCTGAAAGCGATTGCACAATTAGGATACGTCTGTCGATTAACCTTTCCACACATTGTGAACGAATGATAAATATATGATCTCACAGTCTTGTTTCGCGGGTTAAAATTGGTCTTCAGTAACCCATGCTTGTTGTAAGAGGCGACTAACGGGATCGGGGTGGTCAGGCTTGGTTGACACATATCATCGTATCCCAATTGCGTTGATCGATGTTCATGCTGTTGATCACTGGATTGTCTGGTCCATTATTTACAAACCGCCGCCATATAGCTAACTCACTCACTCACTCACTCAATCACTCACTCAGTCTTTTTTCCAAAGCCAATGGTATGTCTGGACGAGGGACAATGACAATGTTTTGCGACCTTCCGGAAAAGAAAATGTTGCTTGTTTACACATATGTACGCGATTCAATATTCTCCCGTCAGTGTCTTTATTGCAAGCTGTTGGTAGTTTTAACGCCATTCAATCATAATACTGCTTGTCTGGGCAGGACTATTGACGGGGAACACCTGGTGTTTCTAAAGTATACATCTCTGATGCGGTCTTTGGTTAGCTGTAGCAGAATCAATGATAACATTTTAACACATATGGACATGTAAGGTCAATAATTACATAGTGGTCGTCAGACCTTTGAAGGCAGACCTATAGACAGTGGCATTGAAATGTATTATGTCATATGCTACAAAGACGTAAAAAGGGGCAATACAGAGTAAAGCGTTAACACAAGAGAATAAGCAGGAGAAAAAATGTCTCGTTTATCTCAAGAACAGATTCCTTTGGGCCTGAACACATTTTCGTTGACAATGATCTGAGTAGATATAACAAGTAATCAGTTATCACATAAGGTTTGATAATTGCCGTACTTAGTAACACTATGCATTGGGTTCTTGAAGCTATGTGGAGGGAAGGGAGTGTTTTGGATAAAGTAACTGCATCGTTACTGAAACGTCGTATTATCAAAATAATAAATAATGGATATGGATTCAACTATAAAACAGTTTACTCGATTATCACACACTGTTCATTGATGATTAAAGATAAAATAGTGGTGAAAATTTATATAAACGGACCTGAAAATGTGTAATGACAGCCAATGTTCGCGACAAGAGTCCTGTCTGACCTCTAGCACACCTTCTCACACAATTTGCACAAGTGTTTGTTTGGGTCTAAAATTATTATCCGCTCCAATATCATGAAATGGAATAGACTTTATGCAATGAAAAATAGACCAGTCAATGCAGTTGCCTACTCCGACAAGCAATGCTTACTCGACTATGTGGATATACTGACTGACTGACTGACTGACTGACTGACTTAGTTTGGTTTTACGCCGCTTTAAGCAATATTCCAGCAACATAACGGCGGGGGACACCATAAATGGGCTTCACACATTGTACCCATGTGGGGATTCGAACCCGGGTTTTCGACATGACGAGCCAACGCTTTAACCACTAGACTACCCCACCGTTCCCCGTTAGCACAAATTGATTATTGAGGACGATCCCATGTGTACAAAATGCTATTAGTTCATACCGTGATTCGTTTTTCTGGAAATGTGACGGAGACTGCCTCCCCTTTGATTTCAATGTGCCTTTAGTTTATGGCGATTAGACAGATAAAACATCGTTAGCACCATAATTCACTCACGCACTCAGGGTGCGCCGGAGACCTGACAAGTCAATAATGGCCATAACTCACTCACTCACACTCTAGACTCTTGCCTAAGCTGCTTGCTATTGGCTACTGTCGTCCTGGCGACTACCCTATTCTCTGATTGGACACCTATCTCCCACGGGTGAAGCTCTTTTAACAACGTTCAGATGTTTGAACGTAAGCACAATGGATATTACTATTTAAGAAGCAACAGTGGCTGATGCCTTGGATATAAAGAGGTGAAATGCTGTAATAGTGAAACGCAGGGGTACTGAACTATAGGATGCTTCCGTAGTTAAGTGCAGCAGGGATATAGTTCCTCTAAACAGCATTTGGGACAGATACACATAAAGGCAAGGATTTATGGATGTTAACTTCTTTATATTGAGGAACCTGACGAAGGAGTAAGAATATACTCCGAAACATGTTGATATATTCTGTACAGAAAGCACTTTGCTGTTTATACTTACATTTAGAGGTGAGATCAGGTGAGACGAGATGAAACGGGCTTAAGGTCGCGTTTAGGATTCGTTCACTTATAAAGTGACATGCGTACACGTGTGTGCGTGTGGTTGGTTGTAGTGGTCCGTGCTCCCATGGTGTTCAGTGTAGGCTGGCCGTATATGGTGGGGCAAATTAACATAGTCACAGCCAATCTTTCTTTTACCCCCTTAATGCCGAGCACCAGGAAAAGTAACAAGAAGTACCATTTTTACCATTTTACCATTCGAAGCTGAACGAAAAAAGTTCAGTTACAGGTGCAGTGCAACAGTTTGTTGCTGTCCTGCAACTGATGTCATGACTCCAACATCCGACAAAAGACAAACAACAGTATAATGAACTTATTATTATTTCTTTTTTTCAGATAGACGATCTGCACAAAGGCCATAGTGAAATTGAAGCTAAAATGGAACGAGACGTATGTAGATGTAATTTGTAATTTCCCTTGATCTATGTGACTGTTTTAAGATTGTACGTATTCAGCGACTTAAATGTTTTTAACATTCCATTTATAAACTTGCCTTGGTACAGTTTAGTCGACTGCAGCGTTCACCAACATTTTCGAAGAGCTGGTCTGACACCTTTAACCCCGTTCTGTAACACCCTAACTCGTAAACATCGGTTACCAAGTCAACCTTGCTTATATTGATCAAAGAGGCATCTAAAATCAGTTCTTTTAATCTGAAGATGGTTGTTTGCATAACCGTGAACACTTATTGCAAGACGTTCAATTGAAATTAGACATGGCTTCGTTATTACTGACTGTTTGCGATGTTTGCTATCCGGTGATTGCATCTAATGGAAAAGACAATGTCCTATGATCCGTCCACATCTCTCACAGAGAAGTATTATATTCATATGAATTAGATTTGCTTATTGGTACCTATATTTCATATGTTTAAAAGTGTGTAGTGGATGAATGTAGTTTTAGGCCGCTCTCCGCAATATTCCTGCAATATCGAACCTCCAATCGGACGTCATCCCTTGTTGCCGTGTGGGGGAATCGAACCCGTGTCTTCGGCGTGAAGAGCGAACACTGTAACCTCCAGGCTACCCTACCACGCACATAATATAAACTAGCGTCCAAAAGAAACGCCACCAAAATAAAAATTATCATAAATTGTCAAAATAATTGCCAATCTGCTGAAAAACGGCTGAAAACACATCCCTCGAACACAACCTGTCTATTCCCAGTGAACAAGTGCACGAGATTTTGATGATTGGTGAGTTAAATGAATTCGCACAGAAAAAATGGAAATTGTACACAAAGTTACTCGTATGACATGAGGGTATAAAACCGGACTAGATTTGTTCTCTCTCATCATGTGACACGATTGAAAGCAGCCAACACGCTTCGATTGACCAAAGAACAGAGGGAAAGAGCAATTGGTATGCTTCAGATGGGCGCAACACAGGATAATGGGATGCTGCAAGTCCAACATCGCCAGACTTGTCACAGGTCACAGACTGGCAGTACTGCTGACAGACCCAGGAGTGGCAGACCCAAGGTCACGACCCCACAGGAAGATCGATATTTACGGGTGCTTCATCTGAGAAACCGCTACCTCACTGTGACGTCATCAAGCGCCAATAGCCTTGGACATGCAGTCCGTAGCAAGACGCCGCCGTCAGCATGGTATTCGTGCCTCTCGACCTTTCAAGGGCATGGCGTTAACGCTCCGACACCGACGTGCGAGATTGAGGTGGGCCAGGACCGTAATGCAGTGGCAGCAGCAAAACTGGCGAAGAGTGCTCTTCAGCTCTTCAAATCTGATGGTCGTGTTCGAATCTACCGACGTCGGGGCGAACGGACGGCACCTGCTTGCATTCAAGAAGTGGAGCATTACGGCGGTGGAAGCGTTATGGTCTGGGGCGAAATTTGTGGGGACCAGAAGACAATTCTCGTCATCATCAACGGTAATCTCACCGCAAGTCGTTACATCGACGAGATTTTACGGCCTGTGATGCTGCCTTACCTGCAACGTCACCCAGGGCTCTGTTTCAACCTGACAACGCCAAACCTCACACAGCTCGGATCACTAGTGACTTCCTCAACACTAACAACGTCAACCTGCTACAGTGGCCAGTGAGATCACCCGATCTGTCTCCAATCGAACACCTCTGGGACCAACTGGGGCAACGTATTCGGAAACGTCAACAGCCGCCATTGACTAGGGACGCTTTGGCAGTTGCCCTGCAAGAGGAATGGCGCCGAATCCCTAATGATGATGTCAGAAGGTTCACATACTTAGTTCGACGCAGCGTTAGAGCCTGCATCACTGCTAGGGGTGGCCACACACGATACTGAATCATCTGTGTTGTTCAGGACAGTTTAAAGACGAATCAGCATTGGCGATCGAATACTGGACACTGCACCCCTGTGTCACCCATGTGCCTTGAGAACACGAATTGTTTCGTTTTTCTAACTAAAAAGTTTCGAGAACTGTTGCTGACTGATTGTGTTTTACAATACAACACTTCTTGTTACCAACATTTGCTTTTGTTGTGTTTTACTGAAGAAAACTGTTTGGTGGCGTTTCTTTTGGACGCTAGTTATAAAGATAACGTTAATCAATGTAGATCATTTAAAAAGACATTTTCTTCCACTACACATTGACATGATTAAGAAAGTTTAACAAAAGTAATTTAAATATATATAAATACTAACACCATCATAACATATTATGTTTTTAGGAATTAAACGAGTTCCTGGTACTTTATAAACATCGGGAAAAACAACGGACGAGCTATGAAAGGAACAAACCACGTCAAAAAGTTGACCAGACCAAGAGGACAAAACGCTCAGCTAGTCTTGAAGTTCCCCATGGCCATACTCGTCGCAAGAGATTCTTTGGTACATGGATGCTGTGGGAAAAAGGGATTGTGCCTTATTCATGGGGCAACACAAGTATGTATCCTGTAATTCAATAACATCTCCCTTGTTCATTTAAAAAACCTGGCTAGCTATTCTCGAAACGTTCGTAGCCCTACGAATTTCTTAAGTCCATTTGGCTACGATCAAAGTTAGGAATTCTTAGGGCTACGAAGGTTTCAAGAATAAGGTCACTGGAAGCAAAAGAAACGGTACCTCTCAGTTGACTGTATCTTATATACATATGAGCAATAATTGTAGATTTCATTGGTCTGATGAAAGGCTATGTTCTACTCGTTACCGACAACCGTTGTCGTGTACAATGAGACATCCCAACTAATACTTTCACGTTGTTACAACGTTATTCTGTAGACTCCCATATACGTTGTTACACCGTTATTCTGTAGACTCCCATATACGTTGTTACAACGTTATTCTGTAGACTCCCATATACGTTGTTACAACGTTATTCTGTAGACTCCCATATACGTTGTCACAACGTTATTCTGTAGACTCCCATATACGTTGTCACAACGTTGTTTCATGACGTTACCAATCTACAACCATAACGTTGCGAAAACGTTGTGTGTTACCCGTGATATCGCAATCAAACATCTTTGGTGCTATCGTGAACGCCAAATTAGAGGTAGAGATCATCCGTTTCAAAATCTGTAGGAATTTACACGGGTACCATGGCAGATGATTCCTGTGCCGAGTTCGATACTTGATTGTGTATAACGATGAGGTGGAGGAGATTGTCAGATGTTGTTCGTGCGAAGGGTGGCTACACAATATACTGATATGGTCGTTAGTGGTGATACATGCAACCACAAATATAATTATTTGAGAACTGTATGACAATCAGATTGGTAGTGCAGTTATGATATGATGTATATTGTTTCCATGTGCACTATTGCTGACGTTCATCATTATGTGTACACATCGTCCTCTCAGACTACAAGAAAATTTCAATTTCAGTTTTCGTTTTGGGGAGATTATTTTTCTTTCTGTTTTAATTAGACTAACATATGTTACAGTTACCATTTTCAAAGCAATAATCAACAAAGTGTAGTATTTTCGTATTTATTTATAAGAGCGAGCCGTGACTGATTGATGCTCATGTCCGTGTCTGTATGAGGACATGAAATCACTTTCAGAAGTGGTGAACCCGAACCGCTTTGTACAGCCCCTATCTTTGAGTTTACCACCCCTGTGTACATCCCCTAACTTTGAGTTCACCACCCCTGTGTACAGCCCCTATCTTTGAGTTTACCACCCCTGTGTACATCCCCTAACTTTGAGTTCACCACTCCTGTGTACAGCCCCTAACTTTCAGTCCAACACCTCTGTGTACAGCCCCTATCTTTGAGTTTACCACCCCTGTGTACAGCCCCTAACTTTGAGTCCAACACCTCTGTGTACAGCCCCTAACTTTGAGTCCACCACCCCTGTGTACAGCCCCTAACTTTGAGTTCACCACCTCTGTGTACAGCCCCTAACTTTGAGTTCACCTGCTCTGTGTACAACCCCTAACTTTGAGTTCACCACCTCGGTGTACAGCCCCTAACTTTGAGTTCACCACCTCGGTGTACAGCCCCTAACTTTGAGTCCACCACCTCTGTGTTCAGCCCCTAACTTTGAGTTCACCACCTCTGTGTTCAGTCCCTACCTTTGAGTTCACCACCTCTGTGTACAGCCCCTATACTTGAGTTCACCACATCTATGTACAGTCCCTACACTTGGGTTCATCATCCCTGTGTACAGCCCTTATACTTCAGTTCACCACCTCTGTGTACAGCCCTTATACTTCAGTTCACCACCTCTGTGTACATCCCCTTTTCTTGAGTTCACCACCTCTGTGTGCAGCCCCTATACTTGAGTTTCCCACCCCTGTGTACAGCCCCTATACTTCAGTACATCACTCCTGTTTACAGCCCTTATACTAGAGTTCACCACCCCTGTGTACAGCCCTTACACTCGAGTTCATCATGTCTGTGTACAGCCCATATACTAGAGTTCACCACCTCTGTGTACAGCCCTTATACTAGAGTTCACCACCTTTGTGTAAAGCCCTTATACTAGAGGTCACCACCCCTGTGTACAGCCCTTACACTTGAGTTCATCATGTCTGTGTACAGCCCTTATACTTGAGTTCACCACCTCTGTGTAAAGCCCTTATACTAGAGTTCACCACCCCTGTGTACAACCCTTACACTTGAGTTCATCATGTCTGTGTACAACCCTTATACTAGAGTTCACCACCTTTGTGTAAAGCCCTTATACTTGAGTTCACTACCTCTGTGTACAGCCCTTATACTAGAGTTCACCACCTCTGTGTACAGTCCCTATACTTGAGTTCACCACCTCTGTGTACAGTCCCTATACTTGAGTTCACCACCTCTATGTACAGCCCTTATACTTGAGTTCACCACCTCTGTGTACAGCCCTTATTCTTGAGTTCACCATCGTGTACGTCCCCTTTTCTTGAGTTCACCACCTCTGTGTACAGCCCCTATACTTGAGTTTCCCACCCCTGTGTACAGCCCCTATACTTCAGTACAACACCCCTGTGTACAGCCCTTATACTTAAGTTCACCACCTTTGTGTAAAGCCCTTATACTAGAGTTCACCACCCCTGTGTACAGCCCTTACACTTGAGTTCATCATGTCTGTGTACAGCCCTTATACTTGAGTTCACCACCTCTGTGTAAAGCCCTTATACTAGAGTTCACCCCTCTGTGTACAGCCCTTACACTTGAGTTCATCATGTCTGTGTACAACCCTTATACTAGAGTTCACCACCTTTGTGTAAAGCCCTTATACTTGAGTTCACTACCTCTGTGTACAGTCCCTATACTTGAGTTCACCACCTCTGTGTACAGCCCTTATACTTGAGTTCACACCTCTGTGTACAGTCCATATACTTGAGTTCACCACCTCTGTGTACAGCCCCTATACCCGAATCACCACATCTGTGTACAGCCCTTATACTTGAGTTCACCACCCCTGTGTGCAGCCCATATACTTGAGTTCACCACCCCTGTATACAGCCCCTATGCTTATGTTCACCATCCCTGTGTACATCCCCTATACTTCAGTTCACCACCTCTGTGTACATCCCCTATACCCGAGTTCACTACCTCTGTGTACAGCCCCTATGCTTCAGTTGAAAACCTGCATGTACATTTCCTATACCAATACCCCTCATACCTGTTCGGAGATATATACTACAAAACAGAATTTCAATCCACAAAGCGTTCGTAACGTTACGACCTATCGTAACTCTTTAGTTTACCATAGGCTTACGAATGGCCTAGTGCTACGAACGTTTTGGTGACAGGGTCGCAGGTGAGCATCCCTTACGTAGGAGTTCAATGATAATGATAATAACATGAAGCAATAATAACGATGTTTCAGCTGCCCAAGAGCAAGCGTCTGCCAAGGCAGCTATGGAAATTATTCACAAGTATACCTGTGTTCGGTTCGTCTTGAGTGACGGCTCACCTGACTTCAACAGCAAACTGGGGCTCTCCCATACAACAACTCTGACGTTCCTCAAACAGGGGGCTGCCGGGTACGTTATTTAACGTTGAAATCTCCGATGATTTAAACATGTCACACGTAGAGGATCGACTATATGTTGGAACGGACTCCAGAATACATCTGGCACATATTTGCAGTTGACAGTATCGGGTGACCTGGCCTGGATTAGCACATTAACACTACTAAGGTCGTTCATTTCCCAATAATAACGTCAGTATGTCGCGTGATTACGTTGTCAATCTAGCGGAGACTTACCGAAGTGTCAATGTTTCGTGGATCATGGAATTTGCTCAAGTGAATCCTTAAATATTGGCAGTATCGGGTGACCTCGACCTTTGATGAAAACTGCCAAGAAGGCGTCGTTCCTTTTCCGAAGAACGTCAATATGTCGGTGATTATATTGTCAGTCTAGCGGAGAGTTATAGAACAACATTTGGGGAATTCCACAATTTCTAAATATAGCGTCCTATAGGAGTTATTGTTCCCCATTGGAATGAGGACAAATACTACTTTTTCAACTCACACACCGAAGGCAAAACACTAAGTGAAAGTAGTCTATCTTACAAACTATATCTGTCTATTACTTCCTGGATTACTCACAACGTTGTCATGGCGATTATGATGCTTGTCGAAAGAAGTGACTAACGCGATCGGGAGTGATGAATGAGTTTGTTTTACGCCGCACTCAGCAATATTCCAGCTATATGGCGGCTCCGCGATCGGGAGGTCAGGCTCGATCGCTGATTTGACACATCGTATCCCAGCTGCTGTTGATTGTCTGGTCCTAAATATAACTCATTTATTTAAAGACCGCCACCAAAAAGCTTGAATATTGCTGAGTGAAGGCCATTCGTGACCCACTCGTGTTATTCCGGGAGATTACGCAAAGGGGCGAGTGGTGACGAGTGTTCTTGGGTAGGCACAAATATGAAAACTGAAGTCTTCTTCAGTCCAGTTACATATATGTATTATTATTATTATTATGCGAATATATGTATAGCGCCAATATCCAGCTCAGCTGCTCAAAGGCGCTTTGTTTTGTCTTCGACCATTGGATGTCAATCTCAAACGGCACATCGTACTATCAATCTCAACTCCTTGGGGACCATAGAGCTCTTGCAGCCACTATCCTTACGAGGTACCCATTCACAGCTGGGTGGACTGGGACACATAGTCACAGTACTTTGTCCAAGTTTACTGCACGTTGCTGTACCCGCAACTAGGTGTTTGCACGTATTCATGTGGCCACCATCTGGTCATTTACCGAGGGATTCGTGGGTTCTTTTAAGTGCACAGGGTTGTGTACTGTGCACTGAGGGTTGTGGCAACACTGAAAGAGTCTGCAACAAAGTTGACTCCAAGGTTATTACACCCGGTCACAGGTGGGCTCGATCCCGGCACCCAACCTCGCTGGATCACTAGCCTGGCGCACAGCTGTCCCACCACGCGAGGGCTGGTACACATGTACTCAACCCTCCTCGTCTTCTAAAAATAATCATTTTGAGTTAGGCTTTTGGCTACAGATACTGTTGGCAGCCAATTGTCAAATTATTGTCCAATTTTTTTGCAGGTGCTGGTCACGTGTTGGAATGAAAAAAAGCGGCATACAGGAGATCAGTGCTTGCAGTGAAATGGTAAGTTGGCAACTACAGAACAGCCAACGAGTTTCTAGGAATTTTGGAATATCTCTCGAAATTTCCAACATTTCGACTCAAAATGGATGGATAAGCCGTAATTCCAAGCTACGAGAAGGTTATTTTATATTAACACCTTTCTCTGAGGAAATGTTTTCCTAACAACAAGTTGAGACTTTACGAAAAACGCTGGAACGACGTCACAACGACGTTGTAAGAGACGACTACCTGATTTCTTAGATCGATGCTCATGCTGTTGATCACAGGATTGTCTGATTATTGACAGACTGCCGTCATTTAACTGGAATATTGCTGATTACAGTTTTATCAACAAACAGATAACAATTTGGTGCGTTGCCAGAGTTTAAAGAAACGCTCGTAAAATATATTTATTGAGGACCTGCCAACGGTCCGTTCAACTTCACGTTCAACCAGTTCTGTGGCCAACTTGTCAGTAATGGTTAGAGTGCATCACGATTGAAGAAATGGCTCCATTCCGGTAATCAATAATGCAAAAAGTTCTTGTGGTCCACCTTGAAACTATGGTCGTTGGAAGCACGTCTGATACTATCTGATACTGAGCGTTTCAGGTTTACAACTGACTGACTGACTGAGTTTGGTTTTACGCCGCTTTTAGCAATATTCCAGCAATACCCCGGCGGGGGACACCAGAAATGGGCTTCACTCATTGTACCCATGTGGGGATTCGAACCCGGGTCTTCGGCGTGACGAGCCAACGCTTTAACCACTAGGCTACCCCACCGCCCCAGGTTTACAACTGAAATAAACAACATTTCGCAAGTTGATTATTACATCGAAACTAACAGACTCCAAACAAATGGTCAGTGCAGTGACAGGTATATAATTTAACCTTTACGTCAAAAGACTCGTCAGAAATAAGTTGATCGTGAATGCTACCTTGAGTGAGTAGTGGATACGTCAGTAGGTATAGTTTTACGCCGCTTTAGCAATATGCGCACACGCACACACACACATACACACGCACACACACATGCAAACATGAAGCGCCTGATCCGGTTGACGACGCTCACAAACGCTCAAAGAGCTTTAGAAAGTGTTATGTCCGACATTACAGACAATATCAGATACATCGAGCGAACACCCAAAATGACGTGACGAGTGAACGCTTTAACCAGTCGGCTACCACACAAAATCTCAGATATTGACATATGAAACCTATTATTTCACGTCGGAATGAAAATTCGGCCTTGTACATCTACTGACGCCAGTTCATTGTGATTTAAGCTGACATCTCTCCACGAAATCTGCCACGCAATGGGGGCCTACCATGAACACATCAGCTACAACAGAGACGGTAACATAGAGGAGAACCCCCAAAATATAAAGAAAGGTAGGTGCATCATAGGCGGACCCAGAGAGGGGTGGCAGGGGTGCGCCCCCCCTCCCCCTTTTTTTGTCCTGAAAGTTTATTAAATGACCATTGAAACTCTCGTGTACTGTAATACTTAACCTGTATGAATGGTCAAACAATAAAAAAATAACAGAGCTGTGACGATATATCGTAGTATCGATAATCTTGATACTTTATCTGACAATAGAAATATCGATACTTTTTTTCGCATCGTGATATGTATCGTTGACCTTAAAATTGTTAAGTTTTACAAGAAATGTCAAAATTTACACTGTTACTTGCTATGCACTGACTCGAATCGTACTGTTCCAAGATATCGCGATACTCATGGCATAGAGAAATTTCTGTATCGTCACACCTCTAAAAAATAACGTTATCATCAATCGTTAAAAAAAAAGAAATAAAAAGGAAAGGTAGGTAGGTGTTCTGTGTACTCTGTGTTCACTTAAAGTACATTCCCATTTTTCATTCATACCATGCTGCTCATAAATTTGCATTAAAGGATTATTTTTGCTTCTACTTGCATGGTCTATTTACATCTATTCAAATATAAATCATGTGTATAAAATATAAGACATGAATGAAACAGAAAAATTATAAGAACATTAGAAATGTATATTAACTAACCTGAAGTTGAGATGAGAACTGTGTCATGCATGTGGCCACTCCTGAAGTAAACGAAATGTAGCAAAGATAAAGTTGCAAGATGTAAATGTCATTCTACATTATAAGGTGCGGAGAACAACTTCCAGAAGCGCGACCCCGCCTACAGAAGCTTCTTCAACATGGATGCATACGATCTGCAGTCACTTATGCACTACGAACCCCACGTAAGTCAGTTATGTTGTGCATGTTCCACAATGCACTGACGCTTCGCCTCAAAGTATTATTACAGTGAGATAACCCTGCAAAAATACACGTGTACTCCGTTAAATGACACTAATTACTTTTGACTATGAGGTCAATATTCTCATTCATTCTCATATCAGACTTCGATCGAATTCCTCCTCTGCATATTGTAGCTATACCAGAAGCACAAATCCTGAACACTAGCCTCATTCTCATAATCATCCTCATCCTCTCCCACACTGGGCTGCATTACCTTCATATCATCACTTATACTTCCCATGTTCACCATCAATCATACCCTTTGCAGAACTATCATATTAAGCATCAACTCACACCCGTCAAAATATCACTGCTACCATCATTTTCACCCTCACCCTCAACCTCAGCCTCACTCACACCCTCACTCACACCCTCACCTCACCCTCAACCTCAACCTCAACCTCAACCACACCTTCACTCACACCCTCACCCTCACCCACTCCCTCACCCTCACCCTCACCCTCAACCACACCCTCACCCTCACCCTCACAAACACCCACACCCACACCTTCACTCACACTATCACCTCACCCTCACCTTCAGTCATACCCTCACCCTCACCCTCAACCACACCTTCACCCTCACCCTCACCTTCACTCACACCCTCACCCTCACCCTCACCCTCAACCACACCCTCACCCTCACACTCACCTTCACTCACACCTTCACTCACACCCTCACCCTCACTCACACCTTCACTCACACCCTAACCCTCACCGACACCCTCCCCCTCAACTTCACCCTCACCCTCACCCTCACAAACACCCTCACCCTCACAAATACCCACACCCACACCCACACCCACAACCACACCCACACCCACACCCTCACTCTCACTCTCACCCAACCTCAACCGCACTTTCGAGGACATCACTCCTAAACACTGTACCAATGCCAGCTATATTTCGAGGGCATTCCCGGTAACACAGAGAGCTATAACTCGAGGACATCGCTCCAAACCCCGGTAACACAGATAGACGTAACTCAAGGACATCACTCCAAACCCCAGTAACACAGATAGATATAACTCAAGGACATCACTCCAAACCCCGGTAACACAGATAGATGTAACTCGAAGACATCACTCCAAACCCCAGTAACACATGTAGATGTAACTCAAGGACATCACTCCAAACCCCGGTAACACAGATAGATGTAGCTCGAGGACATCACTCCAAACCACGGTAACACAGATAGATGTAACTCAAGGACATCACTCCAAACCCCGGTGACACAGATAGATGTAACTCAAGGACATCACTCCAAACCCCGGTAACACAGATAGATATAACTCAAGGACATCACTCCAAACCCCGGTAACACAGATAGATGTAACTCGAAGACATCACTCCAAACCCCAGTAACACATGTAAATGTAACTCAAGGACATCACTCCAAACCCCGGTAACACAGATAGATGTAGCTCGAGGACATCACTCAAAACCACGGTAACACAGAGAGATGTAACTCAAGGACATCACTCCAAACCCCGGTGACACAGATAGATGTAACTCAAGGACATCACTCCAAACCCCGGTAACACAGATAGATGTAACTCAAGGACATCACTCCAAACCCCGGTAACACAGATAGCTATAACTCCAGGATATCACGACAACCCCGGTAACAGAGATAGATATAACTCGAGAAGTTCACGCCAAAACCCGGTAACACAGATAGCTGTAACTCGAGGACATCACGCTAAACCCCGGTAACTCAGATAGCTATAACTCTAGGACATCACGCTAAACCCCGGTAACTCAGATAGCTATAACTCGAGGACATCACGCCAAACCGCGGTAACACAGATAGCTATAACTCGAGGACACCACGCCAAACTCCGGTAACTCAGATAGCTATAACTCGAGGTCATCACGCTAAACTCCGGTAACTCAGATAGCTATAACTCGAGGACATCACGCTAAACCCGGATACTGCACATACAGTAGCTACAGAATGGGTATTATGTTTTGTTACTATACCCTGCTGACAGTTGGGGCTTTGGAAGGGGGGTGACAACCATTATTGGCATGAGTATATTAGGAGTAAAAAATATGTATTCCTAATATATGATATTAATGATAATCATCTTTATATCCATCTAGGACTTCTCCTCCAACGGCATGCCGACCCTGGACCCTTTATATCGAGACTTTGCTGAGCCTGCTGATGACTACTGGCTACTGATGAAGGAGATGAGCAAGGTGTACAAGTGTATGGGTAAGACGGGGTAGCCTAGCGGTTAAAGCGTTCGCCCGTCACGCCGAAGCCCCGGGTTCACTTGCCCACATGGGTACAATGGGAAACCCATTTCTGGTGTCCCCCGCCGTGATATTGCTGGAATATTGATAAAGGCGGCGTAAAACTAAGCTCACTCACATAGTTAAGACAGCAATAAAGCATTGCGTCGCTGCTGATCCGTGTACACACCAGTAAATGCAACTCATGATAATGATTATACAATTTGAGCAGCTGAGTGAGTGTTTTAGGTTAACGGCGTTTTTAACGTCACGGCGTGTGCGATAAACGTTTGAGGAGATACTGGTGTGAGACATATACCACTGTCGTGAGACCGACGAGTACCGGTATGGTGCTGAAAGCCCTACAACCATAATCAGTGAGTGAGTGAGTTCAGTTTTAAGCCGCACCTGGCAATATCCCAACTATATGGCGAGCCCGAACCAGACAATCCAGTGATCAACAGCATGAGCATCGATCTACGTAATTGGGATACGAATACATGTGTCAACCAAGACAGCGAGCCAGTCCACCCGATCCCGTTAGTCGCGTCTTACGACAAACGTGTGTTACTGAAGATCATTTCTAACCCGGATCTTCACGAGTCTACAACCTTGATAAGAGTATATCGGGATTCGAACCAACAATCTTAGGCGTCTGGCGTGTCCACAGGAACCATCTCTACACAGCGAAGTGCAAATTGCTTTGAAATGAAATATTATTCAATTCATATAACAGTAGTAATGAAAGGTACTAGTATCAATTACCTTAACGTAACCACCATATAGCTGGAATATCGCTGAGTGTGACGTTATACAACGAACAAACCGTAACATAATCTGCCCGGGAACAGGAAGGGTGCATCCATCCCTGATGCTGGCAATAAGGGGGCCAGGTTTCTGTTGATACTTTCACTAAGCTTATGTTAATATTCAAAGTATCAATCTTTATAACTTTACATTCTTGTATTCGCTGTACTATAGAAATATTGCTTGAAGACACAACAGTCTTTGACGTTTTGTGACCTGTGACTGTCTGCGCTTTCAGACATGAAGTGTCCTTCAGTCAAGCTGAACTGCTCTCACGAAGGTTGGGCTGGTTACTACGATGATAACTGCCAGTGTGTCTGTCCAGCGGGACTGGACCCTACAACACAGTGCACAACGCTTAAACCTGGAGGTCAGTATTGATCGATCGATCTCATTGATCGATCAGAAGTTGATCGACAGATTGCAATTGCTGATTCGATGGCCACACGTCGCTTATCAGTCGCTCTTGGCTGATTGTGAATCCTGACCTTTACTGGTCTATTCTCCCAATATATATCTGCTTCGTTTTGTAGACATGCAACCATATTGTTCACAGAGAAAAACAAATAATGATGATATCAATAATTTCGTTTTGTGTTCTATAATCACATACAGAAGATACTACAACACATTTGTGCTAAGACATGGTACACATTCGTCTTGCGTGGTCAACTTAATATTGTGTAATACAATTTCAACATTGTTTCAATATATTTTCTACTGCCATATAATACTTAATAATTTTACCAGTTTTTAGTTTTTCTGCTATCATCCCAACTGCTGGCGATCTATAGCCTGTTTTTATATTTTGTATTGTCAGAAATAGTGTCATTATTTTAACGTTACATGCTAGTTTTAATTCTAACTGTAGTACTCCCGTTGTTTCAGTGTCCATGACAGTTTGTATAATATACATGTAATCCTTATCAATGTTAAATTTGTTCTCGTCACGATATGGCTGCAGAAATCGCCGATGTGACGTTAAGTATGAACTCACTCAAATAATAAGTGGTTTATTCGTTATAACGTCAACGTGTTAGTTGACTTGCTATATCTGATTAAACAAGTATCTGATTAAATATTCCGGTTGAATCTCAGACTGTGGAGGTATCATCGAGCTATCACGTGAGAAGACGAGGGCAACGTTTAAATCTCCCAGCTATAATTTGCCCGCCCCGTCCTCGTCAATCTGTACTTGGATTATCAAGGTCAGGATTATTTGCTTTTTAAAACATCATCATCCAATCGTTCTTCTTCCTTATTTGTAATCGTTGCTCGCTCAATCTTGTTCACGATCTGATAAAGACTGACTGACTGAGTATGGTTTTACGCCGTTTTTAGCAATATTCCAGGAATATCACGGCGGGGGACAACAGAAATGGCTTCACAAATTGTACCCATGTGGGGAATCGAACCCGGGCCTTCGGCGTGTGGAGCGAACGCTTTAACCACTGGGCTACCCCATCGCCCCTATCTGATAAAGAAGTGAAATGGAACATGTTAGAACGAGAAAGTTATTTTTGTCCACGTCCGTAACAAGCTATCACTGCATGTTTGTATGGTGATGTCTACATAAATGTATATCTACATCAGTCGACCGATACAATTATCCTAACGGGGCGGTGTGGTAGCCGAGTCATTAATGCGTTCGCTCGTCATGCCGAAAACCCGGTTCGATTCCCCACATGGGTACAGTGTGTCAAGCCTATTTCTGGTGTCCCGCATTTGTTAACCTTTGATGGTTCTTCTTGTTCCAATGTGGTTCTGATTTAGAAGTGTATGGAAGCCTTCCTGCATGTCACTTTAACTCGTATCAGTAACACGATGCATGTATGTATGGAGAAGTGTACAGTAATATATATCTACCTCAGTCTCCTGGGATCGTGATGCTGAAAGTGCAGGACATGAACCTAGAAGGAACTAGCGAGAACTGCAAAGCTCACATTCGAATCCGACGAAATCTTCTTGGTCAGTCCGGCACAACGTGAGTACATAGCTGTGAGTGAGTGAGTTTAGTTTTACGCCGCACTCAGCAATATTCCAGCTATATAGCGGCGGTCTGTAAATAATCGAGTCTGGACCAGACAATCCAGTGATCAACAGCATGATCATCGATCTGCACAATTGGGAACCGATGACATGTGTCAACCAAGTCAGCGAGCCTGACCACCCGATCCCGTTAGTCGCCTTTTACGACAAGCATAGTCGCCTTTTATGACAAGAATGGGTTGCTGAAGGCCTATTCTACCCCGGATCTTCACGGGTCTAGAGTACATAGCTACCTTTTTATGTTGTCTTACCGAAACTGTGTTACTACATATTATATTTTGAGATGGTAAATACACAGTATTAGATATTACATGAGCTCTGACCATATTCTGACATGTTTCGGCCAAATAGAACTGTATTAAACTGTATTAAACTGTATTATATTGGGTGAAAAGTCAACAAGAGGCAGATGTCCATAAACGCAGAGATGTACAAAGATTCCATGAGCCGTGTGTTCCCTCTAAAGAGTTTCACAATGGCTCCACTTGCAAAGTGTCTTCATGGCAACTTGCAGGCACTGACTTTCAGTGACTTTGCCAATTGTTAATGGTAACAGTTATCCCGGTAGTGCATTCTGGGACGTGGGTTAGCCTAGTGGTTAAAACTTCGGCGCGCCGAAGACACGGGTTCGATTCCCCGGATGGGTACAATATGTGAAACCCATTCCTGGTGTCCCCCAACGTGATATTGCTGGAACATTGCTAAAAGCGGCGTAAAACCATACTCACTCACTCTCTCAGTATTGTCTCCAGATGATTAATTCTCACTCGTTTGCCTATACACCAGGACGACGCCATGTTTCTTTGGCGGTTACCAGGGATCCATACACATGGCTTTCCATGTATTCTGATTTCTTTTACTGATGACTCGCCATTGCACATTTACAGAAGCTCATTAACTGTTTTTATTGTCGAGGCCACTTAATATAAAACCGTTTAATTGTCGAGGACATGTATCATATAACCGTTTTAATTGTCGAGGATATTTATCATATAACCGTTTTAATTGTCGAGGATATTTATCATATAACCGATTTAATTGTCGAGGACATTTATTATACAACCGTTTTAATTGTTGACACTTATTAAATAACCGTTATAATTGTAAAGGACATTTATTATATAACCGTTATAATTGTCGAGGACACTTATTATATAACCGTAATAAATGTCGAGGACACTTATTATGTAACCGTTATAATTATCGAGGACACTTATTATATAACCATTATAATTGTCGAGGACACATGTTTTATAGCCGTTATAATTCTCGAGGACACCTATGATATAACCGTTTTAATTGTCGAGGACATTTATTATACAACCATTTTAATTGTAGAGGAAACTTATTATATAACCGTTATAATTATCGAGACACACATTGTATAACCATAATAAATGTCGAGGACATTTATTATATAACCGTAATAATTATCGAGACATACATTGTATAACCGTAATAAAAGTCGAGGACACTTATTATGTAACCGTTATAATTATCGAGGACACTTATTATATAACCGTTATAATTGTCGAGGACACATTTTATAGAACCGTTATAATTGTCGAGGACATTATTATATAACCGTTTTAACTGTCGAGGACACATATTATATAACCGTTATAATTATCGAGACACATTGTATAACTGTAATAAATGTCGAGGACACGTATTATATAACCGTTATAATTGTCGAGGACACATATTATATAACCGTTGTAATTGTCGAGGACATATATAACCGTTATAATTGTCGAGGACACATTATATAACCGTTATAATTGTCGAGGACACATATTATATAACCGTTATAATTGTCGATGACATTATTATATAACCGTTTTAACTGTCGAGGACACATATTATATAACCGGTATAATTGAGGATGCTGGGATTCCAGCGTTTTACTGCATGTAAGAAGCCCAACATTGCAAAAAGTCCCGTTCATATCCGTTTGACTGTCTGGAGTCCGGTGGGTGTACTTCATCCTACGTATTTTCCAGCTCATTAATGAAACCGTTAGTACCACCCCAACTGCCGGCGTCAACATATACAACGTTCGCTCCATAAACAATCATGTTCACGCTTCCTATAACGTCATTGTTTGTTATTTGCAGGGAAGAAAACTCAGCTGTAAGGTTTTCTTGTGAACTATGGTGTCACAACACCGATACTGCATTAACTGTGCTTGGGATATGTATCAGTTTTTAGTCTGTAAACACTTTCAAATGCTCTCATAATCTTTGCAGGTACTGCGGTAGTGGTTTTCAGAGGTCTCTTTTTTCCACCGGCAACTATATGGCGGTAACTTTAACAACTGAAAACACGTTGACAAGCCTTTTCCTAGCCACAGCCGAGGCTCTGTTCGGTAAGTCGCCTTCAGTCACCAAGCGCATATAAATATTTCCTGATTCATAATTTTGTACAACATCGACCTTCTCCTTGTAAAACGTGTCATCTAGATATCCTTCCGCTAATTATACTATAACTTGGAGAACGTGTCAGCTATATATTCATTCTGACAACGTGTCGGTTATATATCCTTCTAATGTACACTGTGTCGGCTATATATCCTTCTATTACCGGTATATATCCTTCTTCTTCTGCAGCCGAGGACAGTTGCTATAATTGGGATGATCGTGGGGAGACCTACAGCGCTGACCTCCAGTTCTCCGAGAAGTTCCACAAGTGTGTCAACTGGTCAGAAGCCACGGCATGTAACCACAGCCCGTTTTCTATGACTGGGTGAGTTGCGTCACCATTCAATAATCCACCTGCAATACCGAAACAGGTACAGTCCATTGTCAGCATCATTCCAGCTACCTTCATTAATTCACAAAAATCTGTAGAAAATGGAGTCATGGGCTGACTCATTAGATCCTAGGTGATTAATACAAGTAGGTAAATGTAAAACATTGTATTATTCGACACATAAAGTATGTGTAAATATATGGGCAGATATGCCTCACTGGATAGTCATTTTAAATATCTTTACATCTGTGCAGCGATTTGATTAAACATTTAGGCGAGTCTCAGACATTTACTACTTTAATTGTGTGCAGTTCTCAAACAAGAGCTGATTTGCGTCCTTTACTGTGTTTCAGTAACCTTAAGGCTGACTGTTCCTGTGTTTCAATAATATAAAGGCTGACTATTCCTTTGTTTCAGTGACCTGAAGGCAGACTACACCGGCAACAGCTGCCGCAATCCCGGGGGTGTCCTACACAGGCCCTGGTGCTACACTGACGTCAAGCCTACAAGTTGCACCATCCGATACTGCGAGCCGTGCCAGGAAGGTAGGGTAGACATGGAAGCAGATCTTTCCTAGTGGGGTCCGGAAACTGTGTGTGCGTGTGTGTGTGTGTGTGTGTGTGTGCGTGATTGGATTGTTGTGTGTCTGTGTCAGCTGTATGGACTAATGTCGTTTCATAGCGCCAGTCCACTCAGTTACCGTTCCGTAGATTGATATGGACCCAACTGTAACACAGTATACCGACTCCAAGCCGACCTCGATGCATCCACTGAATACCGAGCACCAGGCAGGGAAATAAGATGTAAGATTTCTGTGAGTGACATTATAAGATGTAAGATGTTTAAACGCACATGCGCTGTCCAATACGCCGTCAGTCTCGATGAGTAATTGAGTATGAGTTTACGCCGCCTTTAGCACTATTCAAGCTACATCACGGCGGGGGACACCAGAAATGGGCTTCACGCATTGTACCCACGTGGGGAATCGAACCCGGGTCTTCGGTGTGACGAGCGAACGCTTTAACCACCGCCCTCGATGACTCGCTTATTGTAATTTTGTCAACAATGCACCAGGTGCCAAATGTCATACATACTACTGCACCAGTGTTGTTTCTGTCAACAGGAGACGTGTATGACGTGTACGACAACTGCGGCGACATCTTACGACGACTCCCTGACTTCTGCACAGACCCGGAAGCTGAACATGGCTGTAGGAAGACGTGTGGTTTTATGAAGCCTACGATTCAGAAAGGCACGTGGGTAAATGGGACGAAAGATCAGTATAAACTGAGTCATACCTAAGGGCAGAATTTATATATTTAGTGTTTCTCATCCCCCGCCCGACCCTTCTAATTTTAACGCTTCTTTTTTTTCCGCTTCTTCCCCCCCCCCAAGGAAAAACTGGAACCCGGGGCTTCAAAAGGCCAAATGTGTTAGTAAAATGAGACCAATTGATTTCATTTCCAGAACAGTGTGGCGTTCCCCCTGCAGTCAATGGCGCTCGCCTGACGGTTGCCGCCAAAGACAGCTATGACGTGAACGACGTTGTCATGTACCAGTGTCTTCACGACAGCTCCAAGATGTCACCGAGATGGTGCCTCTCCAATGGTGTGTGGTCCGACCTTCAAGCAGTTTGTGGAGGTAATGTATGGATACTACTGACGATCCCTGCAGTTTTGTCGAGCAATATTTCAACAGATCTAGCCTTTGGCATTTCACAACTTTGAAGTCACAACTCTTGCTAAGAACTTAGTCGATCGTTTGGTGACATTTATTCTGTGGTATAACAAGATACTCGACAGGAAACGTTGTTGGGCCATAAATTAGTTCCGGCAAAGTGTTATTTTCACTGGTGCGAACATATCACTTTTCTCAAACTCTTAAATCTTACTCTTTCACACGTAAGTATAAAATAAAATACCTTATACTGAGATATAACTATCATCCATGATGATGTAAGCATCATCTACATGTGCCCGAAGATGAAAGTATCATTTTCGTAGACGTAAATATTATCTTCGTAGGAGTAGACGTAAGTATCATCGTCGTAGACGTAGATGTAAGTGTCTTCTGCGTAGATGTAAATACCATCGTCGTAGATGTCAGTATTTAGACTTATTATTCCCGTGGCACTCACACGTTTTTATAATATTCCAATACTTGGTTACTAAAAAGAATTTTGCAAGCACTTACAACTTCTGTCGTATGTATTCTGTACTGAAACGTGCATTGTGAACGTCGGGATGACGGTCAGGTAATACATGTAGTGTCCACGTTTTCCAGAGTGTGTTGATCAGAAGACGACTTGTCTGGACCTGCTGAAGAACAACCGTACGATGTGTTCCACATCCCCGGCTTACAGCACCAAATACTGCTCTGCTACATGCGGGACATGCTCAGGATCGAGTAAGTTTCAAACGTCATTTGCATATCTATACTTGTCCTTTTAAGTTATTATGGGGGCGGTGGGGTAGTCTAGTGGTTAAAGCGTTGGCTCGTCACGCCGAAGACCCGGGTTCGAATCCCTACATGGGTTCAATGAGTGAAGCCCATTTCTGGTTTTCTCCCGCCGTGATATTGCTGGAATATTGCTAAAAGCGGCGTAAAACCAAACTCAGTCAGTCAGTCAGTTAAGTTATTATGTATCATCAGAGGAAACGGAACCATTTGGCCTCTTGAGACCCACTAAAATTGTCAATTTTAAACCTTCAGGAAATGTGAAATATTGGCAATGACTTGTCAGACATGTTCGAAGACAGATTGGCCAATTTCGACTATGGTTAATAGAATGGTTAATATGAGTGAAAAGGACCTATTCTAAAATTTGAGTCGAGTCGAGTATTGAGAAGTAAGTTAGTTGCATAGCGTATTGTCACTAGCCATAGGAATACGATTCCCAAAAAATGCTGGGCGCGTTTGCATAACGTAATCTTAGCGCTACGTCTATCTTAAGTCTATGTAAAAGTGTAAGATCGCTTTGTGCAAGTGGGCCCAGGTATTTGATACTTATCTGTTTGGTGAAACCAACATGTATGGTTTTTGAAAAGCGAAATTTTATCATTCATTGTACTGTCTTTAATTGCATGTTTGATTGAACCATCTAATTAAAGTTCATGTTCAAATACAAATATTACAAATACTTAGTAACACAGACCCTGAAATATATGTATCCAAGAAAGCCCATTCAAGTGTAGAATATGTGGCAAGTCTAGTATGAAAATAAAGAAAGCCTCTGGGCCCCTTTTCACTATATTTTATGATTGTAAATTCGAAACCGTGTTTTGCTGTAAAATATGTTCAATTCAGAGACTAGATGTTAGTCCAACAAACACACTAAAACCTCTAAAAGCAATCTTTTTACCGGTGCATAATTTGAACTTCATTAACCTTTTAACTGCTCTCGTTTTGGTATGTCTCTTGTTTGACGCCATAAGCAATAATGGAGCTAAATGGTGTCTGTAAATGATCAAGTCTAGTCAGGCAATATCATGATGAATCACATTATTAGCATGGCTTTGAGCAGTTGTGATACTCTAAGATGCCGATCCCGACATGCATGTTTTTCTGATGTCCAATTCTAACCCAGGTCTCCCCAACCTGTCCTTCCTCGTTGCCTCATTGTTACAGGTATTTCGAAAAAAGGTATTGAAACAATGTGACCCGACATTGTTGTTTGTTTCTATGTTTTAACCTGTGTTCTCTATCACAGAGGCCACGTGCAGTGTGAAAACTCCAACGGCATCGTCAAGGTCTGTGTTGGTCACCAATGGTCCGACTGTTAGCCAAGGACAATTTGTTCAGTACAAGTGCAGCACAGGATTCTTCAAACAGTCTGGCGACGCGGAACTTGTGTGCTTGATGGATGGGACTTTGTTCGGAGACATGCTTGTCTGTGGAGGTAAACTAAAGGATTTAAACTACTTATTGATTGATTGATTGATTGATGTGCGGCAAGTCAGCAAGCCTGATCACCTGTTAGTGACCCCGTACGACATGTATGTGCTGCTGAAGACCTGTTCAATCCCCCCACGTTCTCTTGTCTTATAACATGAACTATATATGCGTGATAATAAATCGTATTTATCCAAATTCGAAAGAAAATATATATACCCATCCATAGCGACGCACTCGAAACCTTCATGAATAGTTTCACAAAGTACCTCCACCTTGGATAAGGTCTACGGCTAATGAAGGTGGCTTACAAACAATATGCGCGTTGTCAAGTAACGTTTTTGAGAAGGCTGTGGTAACACAATGAACTTACCGCTGTAATGCTTTGGCAGATGCACCAAGCTACAGCAAACGTCACAAAGAATAATATATTTAAGAACAAAGTTGCCCTGTGATGTTGCCACATGACCAAAAGTCATCGATCAGTGTTGAGGTACAAGATATATATATATATTTCATTTAAAAACATGTTATTCAGTGTCAGTTACGACATCAAACGTCGCCATCAGAGAAGAGCTCAAATAAACCAAGAGAAATCACCCATGCCAATCATATGAACTGATTTAGTGATGCGAGAGGAACACTTGATGTTTCTCTCACCAAAACAACAAACAACTAGACAACGGTTTGTCTCACCAAAACAACAAACACATAGACAACTGTATGTCTCACCAAAGCAACAAACAACTAGACAACGGTTTGTCTCACCAAAACAACTGCACAACTAGAACTATTTGTCTCAACAAACAACTGCAAACTGTTTGCAACAAACAACTGCACAACTGTTTGTCTCACAAAACAACAAACAACTAGACAACTGTTTGTCTCACCAAAACAACAAACAACTACACAACTGCTTGTCTCACCAAAACAACAAACAACTACACAACTGTTTGTCTCACCAAAACAACAAACAACTAGACAACTGTTTGTCTCACCAAAACAACAAACAACTACACAACTGTTTGTCTCACCAAAACAACAAACAAAACAACAAACAACTAACAACTGTTTGACAACTGTTTGTCTCACCAAAACAACAAACAACTACACAACTGTTTGTCTCACCAAAAAACAACAAACAACTACACAACTGTTTGTCTCACCAAAACAACAAACAACTACACAACTGTTTGTCTCACCAAAACAACAAACAACTACACAACTGTTTGTCTCACCAAAACAACAAACAACTACACAACTGTTTGTCTCACCAAAACAACAAACAACTAGACAACTGTTTGTCTCACCAAAACAACAAACAACTACACAACTGTTTGTCTCACCAAAACAACAAACAACTACACAACTGTTTGTCTCACCAAAACAACAAACAACTACACAACTGTTTGTCTCACCAAAACAACAAACAACTACACAACTGTTTGTCTCACCAAAACAACAAACAACTACACAACTGTTTGTCTCACCAAAACAACAAACAACTAGACAACTGTTTGTCTCACCAAAACAACAAACAACTACACAACTGTTTGTCTCACCAAAACAACAAACAACTACACAACTGTTTGTCTCACCAAAACAACAAACAACTAGACAACTGTTTGTCTCACCAAAACAACAAACAACTACACAACTGTTTGTCTCACCAAAACAACAAACAACTGGACAACTGTTTGTCTCACCAAAACAACAAACAACTAGAACTGTTAGTCTCACACAAAACAACAAACAACTACAACAACTGTTTGTCTCACCAAAACAACAAACAACTGGACAACTGTTTGTCTCACCAAAACAACAAACAACTAGGAACTGTTTGTCTCACCAAAACAACAAACAACTAAACAACTACACAACTGTTTGTCTCACCAAAACAACAAACAACTACAACTGTTTGTCTGTTTGTCAACAAACAACTAACAACTGTTTGTCTCACCAAAACAACAAACAACTAGACAACTGTTTGTCTCACCAAAACAACAAACAACTACACAACTGTTTGTCTCACCAAAAAACAACAAACAACTACACAACTGTTTGTCTCACCAAAACAACAAACAACTAGACAACTGTTTGTCTCACCAAAACAACAAACAACTACACAACTGTTTGTCTCACCAAAACAACAAACAACTAGACAACTGTTTCACCAAAACAACAAACAACTAGACAACTGTTTGTCTCCGCAAAACAACAAACAACTACACAACTGTTTGTCTCACCAACACAACAAACAACTAGAACTGTTTCTCTCATCAAAACAACAAACAACTACACAACTGTTTGTCTCACCAAAACAACAAACAACTACACAACTGTTTGTCTCACCAAAACAACAAACAACTACACAACTGTTTGTCTCACCAAAACAACAAACAACTAGACAACTGTTTGTCTCACCAAAACAACAAACAACTACACAACTGTTTGTCTCACCAAAACAACAAACAACTACACAACTGTTTGTCTCACCAAAACAACAAACAACTACACAACTGTTTGTCTCACCAAAACAACAAACAACTACACAACTGTTTGTCTCACCAAAACAACAAACAACTACACAACTGTTTGTCTCACCAAAACAACAAACAACTAGACAACTGTTTGTCTCACCAAAACCAACAAACAACTACACAACTGTTTGTCTCACCAAAACAGCAAACAACTACACAACTGTTTCTCTCACCAAAACAACAAACAACTACACAACTGTTTGTCTCACCAAAACAACAAACAACTAGACAACTGTTTGTCTCACCAAAACAACAAACAACTACACAACTGTTTGTCTCACCAAAACAACAAACAACTACACAACTGTTTGTCTCACCAAAACAACAAACAACTACACAACTGTTTGTCTCACCAAAAAACAACAAACAACTACACAACTGTTTGTCTCACCAAAACAACAAACAACTAGACAACTGTTTGTCTCACCAAAACAACAAACAACTAGACAACTGTTTGTCTCACCAAAACAACAAACAACTACACAACTGTTTGTCTCACCAAAACAACAAACAACTACACAACGGTTTGTCTCACCAAAACAACAAACAACTAGACAACTGTTTGTCTCACCAAAACAACAAACAACTACACAACTGTTTGTCTCACCAAAACAACAAACAACTACACAACTGTTTGTCTCACTAAACCAACAAACAACTACACAACTGTTTGTCTCACCAAAACAGCAAACAACTACACAACTGTTTGTCTCACCAAAACAACAAACAACTAGACAACTGTTTGTCTCACCAAAACAACAAACAATTACACAACTGTTTGTCTCACCAAAACAACAAACAACTGGACAACTGTTTGTCTCACCAAAACAACAAACAACTAGAATTGTTAGTTTCACCAAAACAACAAACAACTGGACAACTGTTTGTCTCACCAAAACAACAAACAACTGGACAACGGTTTGTCTCACCAAAACAACAACTAACTAGAACTGTTTGTCTCACCAAAACAACAAACAACTACACAACTGTTTGTCTCACCAAAACAACAACCAACTACAAAACAGCAAACAACTACACAACTGTTTCTCTCACCAAAACAACAAACAACTAGACAACGGTTTGTCTCACCAAAACAACAACCAACTACACAACTGTTTGTCTCACCCAAACAACAAACAACTGGACAACTGTTTGTCTCACCAAAACAACAAACAACTAGAACTGTTTGTCTCACCAAAACAACAAACAACTACACAACTGTTTGTCTCACCAAAACAACAAACAACTACACAACTGTTTGTCTCACCAAAACAACAAACAACTACACAACTGTTTGTCTCACCAACACAACAAACAACTAGAACTGTTTGTCTCATCAAAACAACAAACAACTACACAACTGTTTGTCTCACCAAAACAACAAACAAACAACTGTTTGTCTCACCAAAACAACAAACAACTACACAACTGTTTGTCTCACCAAAACAACAAACAACTACACAACTGTTTGTCTCACCAAAACAACAAACAACTAGACAACTGTTTGTCTCACCAAAACAACAAACAACTACACAACTGTTTGTCTCACCAAAACAACAAACAACTACACAACTGTTTGTCTCACCAAAACAACAAACAACTACACAACTGTTTGTCTCACCAAAACAACAAACAACTACACAACTGTTTGTCTCACCAAAACAACAAACAACTAGACAACTGTTTGTCTCACCAAAACAACAAACAACTACACAACTGTTTGTCTCACCAAAACAACAAACAACTACACAACTGTTTGTCTCACCAAAACAACAAACAACTGGACAACTGTTTGTCTCACCAAAACAACAAACAACTAGACAACTGTTTGTCTCACCAAAACAACAAACAACTACACAACTGTTTGTCTCACCAAAACAACAAACAACTACACAACTGTTTGTCTCACCAAAACAACAAACAACTACACAACTGTTTGTCTCACCAAAACAACAAACAACTACACAACTGTTTGTCTCACCAAAACAACAAACAACTAGACAACTGTTTGTCTCACCAAAACAACAAACAACTACACAACTGTTTGTCTCACCAAAACAACAAACAACTAGACAACTGTTTGTCTCACCAAAACAACAAACAACTACACAACGGTTTGTCTCACCAAAACAACAAACAACTAGACAACTGTTTGTCTCACCAACAACAAACAAACAACTACACAACTGTTTGTCTCACCAAAACAACAAACAACTAGACAACTGTTTGTCTCACCAAAACCAACAAACAACTACACAACTGTTTGTCTCACCAAAACAACAAACAACTACACAACTGTTTTGTCTCACCAAAACAACAAACAACTAGACAACTGTTTGTCTCACCAAAACAAAACAACAAACAATTACACAACTGTTTGTCTCACCAAAACAACAAACAACTGGACAACTGTTTGTCTCACCAAAACAACAAACAACTAGAATTGTTAGTTTCACCAAAACAACAA